ATCCCAATTTTTCGACTTTTTGAACTTCTTGTTTTTATAGTCTAGAAAGGCGTTTCTTCCTTTAAGAATATTGTAAAAAACATTTTTCTTGCCTATTTCCCCGAAAATAAAAATCTGGAAAAATTACCAATTTTTCACTAAAACCATGGAGTAACCCCTTTGGAAGAATCTCAATTGTTTCGACTTTTTGAAATTATTGTTTTTATAGTCTAGAGAGGCGTTTCTTCTTTCTAGAATTTCGTAAAACACATTTTTTTGGCTTATTTTCTCTAACATCAAAATCTAAAATAATTACCAAGTTTTGAGAAAAACCATGGACTAACCCCTTTGAAAAATCCCAATTTTTCGACTTTTTGAACTTCTTATTTTTATAGTCTAGAAAGGCGTTTCTTCCTTCAAGAATATGGTAAAAAATATTTTTCTTGCCTATTTTCCCTAAACTAAAAATTTTGAATAATTACTTATTTTTGACGAAATCCATGGATTAACCCTTTTGAAAAATTCCCAATTTTTCGACCTTTTGAACTTCTTGTTTTTATAGTCTTGATTGGCGTTTCTTCCTTTAAGAATATCGTAAAAAACATTTTTGTTGCCTATTTTCTCCAAAATAAAAATCTTGATAAATTACAATTTTTTGGCAACACCAATGGACTAACCCCTTTGAAAAATCCCAATTTTTCGATCTTTTGAACTTCTTATTTTTATAGTCTAGAAAGACGTTTCTTCCTTCAAGAATATTGTAAAAAAACTTTTTTTTCCCTATTTACCCTAAAATAAAAATCTGGAAAAACTACCAATATTTGACCAAAACCATGGACTAACCTCTTTGGAAAAATCTCAATTTTTTGACTTTTTGAACTTCTTGTTTTTACAGCCTAGAATGGCGTTTCTTCCTTCTAGAATATCGTAAAACACATTTTTCTGGCTTATTTTCCCTAACATCGAAATCTAAAAAAAATTACCAATTTTTGACCAAAACCATGGACTAACCCCGTTGAAAAATCCCAATTTTTCGACTTTTTGAACTTCTTGTTTTTATAGTCTAGAAAGGCGTTTCTTCCTTCAAGAATATAGTAAAAAAACATTTTCCTTGCCTATTCTCCCGAAAATAAAAATCTGGAAAAATTACCAATTTTTCACTAAAACCCATGGACTAACCCCTTTGGAAAAATCTCAATTTTTCGACTTTTTGAAATTATTGTTTTTATAGTCTAGAAAGGCGTTTCTTCTTTCTAGAATTTCGTAAAACACATTTTTCTGGCTTATTTTCTCTAAAATCAAAATCTAAAATAATTACCAAGTTTTGAGAAAAACCATGGACTAACCCCTTTGAAAAATCCCAATTTTTCGACTTTTTGAACTTCTTATTTTTATAGTCTAGAAAGGCGTTTCTTCCTTCAAGTATATGGTAAAAAACATTTTTCTTGCCTATTTTCCCTGAACTAAAAATCTTGAAAAATTACCAATTTTTGACCAAAATCATGGACTAACCACTTTGGAAAAATCCCAGTTTTTTCGACTTTTTGAACTTCTTGTTTTTATAGTCTAGAGAGGCGTTTCTTCTTTCTAGAATTTCGTAAAAAACATTTTTTTCCCCTATTTTTCCTAATATAAAAATCTGGAAAAATTACCAATTTTGACCAAAACCATGGACTAACTCCTTAAAAAAAATCTCAATTTATCGACTTTTTGAAATTCTTGTTTTTATAGTCTAGAAAGACGTTTCTTCCTTCGAGAATATCGTAAAAAACAGTTTTCTTGCCTATTTTCCCTAAACTAAAAATCTTAAAAAATTACCAATTTTTGACCAAAACCATGGGCTAACCCCTTTCGAAAAATCCCAATTTTTCGACTTTTTGAAAATCTTGTTTTTGTCGTCTAGAAAGGCGTTTCATTCTTCTAGATTTTCTTAAAACACATTTTTATGGCTTGTTTTCCTTAAAAGCAAAATATGGAAAAATTACCAATTTTTGACCAAAACCATGGACCATGATAAATCCCAATTTTTCCACTTTTTGAACTTCTTGGTTTTGTAGTCTAGAAAGGCGTTTCTTCCTTCTAGAATATCGTGTGGCCTATTTTTGCCTAAAATAAAAATCGGGAAAAATTTCCAATTTTTGACCTAAACCATTGGAAAAATCTCAAATTTTCGAATTTTTGAACTTCTTGTTTTAATAGTCTAGAAAGACGTTTCTTCCTTCTAGAATATCGTAAAACACATTTGTGTGGCTATTTTTTTTGTAGTTTGCTTTTAGACAAAATAGGCCTTAAATAACGTTTGGTGATCGTCTAGATAGAAATGAAACGTTTCTAGTCAAGAAAATACCATTTTTACATCATTGCTCTATCTCGCATTTTTTTAAAGAGGTTAGCCCATGATTTTGGTTTAAAATGGGAAATTTTTTATAGGTTGGTTTTGGACAAAATAGGTGATCTAGAGAGAAAAGAAGCCTTTCTTTTGAAATACCATTTTCACATAATCGCATTTTTTTCAAAGTTAAGTTTTGGATAAAGCAGGCCAAGCAGTAATGTTCAGAGAACTTCTAGAGAGAAAAGAAGCCTTTCTAGTCTATAAAAATACCATTTTTTCATAGTAGGCAAATTCGCATTTTGTAACTGAGGGTTAGCCGAGAGAAGCGACGACCAGAAATGCGTCGGTGTCCGTAGACTACCCATGATTTTGGTCAATTTTGGTTTTTCGACAAAAGTGGCCAAGAAATAATGTTTAGCATGACTAAACATAACCTTTTTTACCCTATCACCAACAAAAACCGTTGTTAGTCTTTACCTTTTGTTTTAAAGTATTAAAATGTGGATGTTAAGTTTCCTATGAGGACCCCTTGTGTTCCCAGCAACATTGGCCACATTATTGAGGTAGCGCGTGAGACCTGGGTCTGTTTTATGCAGAATTGCACCATTGGACTAGTACTGTTTTGTAGCACGAATTTAGGCCCAGTTTCCAGCGCATTTTCGCGGTACCCAATAAATGAAGAGATAAAGTCCGTCCCCCAAAACAGTCTCCAATATAGTGCAATTCCACACCACACCGACGTAGTCTCATGCACATGCTCAGCATGTTTGTTACTGGCAAAAAGAAAATCCTGTAAAACTAGCTCGTTACTCGTCAGATATAGAGGGCCGCCTGATATCGCGGCTACGCATTATTTGAGCTTTATATTGCATTTCACTCAGCACTTATTTATTACACCAAAGATTTTAGGGTGTACGATGGGACACGTGACCAGACGATGACACGTGACCAGCCCATGCTCCTCCCCTTCCATTTTCTAAGGGAAAAACCCTGGGGAAAAGGCTGAGAAATATAATTCGCCATTTTATGTTTGTTTCCTTTCTTTATTTTTTATATCACTCTTCCCGCCGTAAGGATTAATTTACTGTTTTAGTTTTTGAACTGAAGATTTTACTGATCCAGGTCTACTAAAGATCCGGCGGACTCTCACTGGTTTGTCGTTGTGGTTTTGCCTTCCCAAGTGTTTTCAAGAGACGATGTTTACCGACGTTTGTTACAAAAAAGCCACGGAGACCATGAGATTACCATTATTTCTGGCAGTAAGTTGGAATTTTTCTTGGGGGATCGCCCATGATTCTGAGTAAAGGAGGATGAATGACCTCTCTTGCTTGGTCCTTTATCCTCTCTCCGCGTTCTACGAAAAATACTGGAATTTTGTATTTGTTTCGTCAGTTTTGTCAGAAAGGGCCAAGAAATCATATTTGACGACGTTTTAAAGTGGTGAAAAGGCCACAAAGACAATTTATAAATATTCCTATTTTGGCTGGCAGCTATTAGCTGGATTTCAAAGGGGGCAGCCTTTGACCTTTGGATAAAAAACAGAAATTTCTTTTGGTCTGAAATTTTAACTAGCCGGCATCAGTACATGGATATTGTAGTTTTCTATTCTTATTTAAAGATTTAGATAAATAAATTTTCAGTTCAATAAAAGAAAAACTTAGTAAGCGCCCTCTAACTTAGGAATAAGTTCACTCCTTCGATCAAATAACCGTCTCTCCAACACCCCCAACCCCCACCCCCACACTTAATTTTGGTTACTATGATCCGGGGCACTTAAGCGGAAATCCTCCGGGAAATGCCCTTGGACGGCTCACGTGATATAAGGCTATCACCTTCCGGCCGGATCGGTGTATGTGATCTTTTTCTTCCATCAGCATTNGCCGTAAGGATTAATTTACTGTTTTAGTTTTTGAACTGAAGATTTTACTGATCCAGGTCTACTAAAGATCCGGCGGACTCTCACTGGTTTGTCGTTGTGGTTTTGCCTTCCCAAGTGTTTTCAAGAGACGATGTTTACCGACGTTTGTTACAAAAAAGCCACGGAGACCATGAGATTACCATTATGTCTGGCAGTAAGTTGGAATTTTTCTTGGGGGATCGCCCATGATTCTGAGTAAAGGAGGATGAATGACCTCTCTTGCTTGGTCCTTTATCCTCTCTCCGCGTTCTACGAAAAATACTGGAATTTTGTATTTGTTTCGTCAGTTTTGTCAGAAAGGGCCAAGAAATCATATTTGACGACGTTTTAAAGTGGTGAAAAGGCCACAAAGACAATTTATAAATATTCCTATTTTGGCTGGCAGCTATTAGCTGGATTTCAAAGGGGGCAGCCTTTGACCTTTGGATAAAAAACAGAAATTTCTTTTGGTCTGAAATTTTAACTAGCCGGCATCAGTACATGGATATTGTAGTTTTCTATTCTTATTTAAAGATTTAGATAAATAAATTTTCAGTTCAATAAAAGAAAAACTTAGTAAGCGCCCTCTAACTTAGGAATAAGTTCACTCCTTCGATCAAATAACCGTCTCTCCAACACCCCCAACCCCCACCCCCACACTTAATTTTGGTTACTATGATCCGGGGCACTTAATCGGAAATCCTCCGGGAAATGCCCTTGGACGGCTCACGTGATATAAGGCTATCACCTTCCGGCCGGATCGGTGTATGTGATCTTTTTCTTCCATCAGCATTTGTTGGTGCGTCGTCATTTTCGGGCGCTACTCCAAGCAACCATGAGCTGTCATTTGATGTCGCTGTTATTGTTTCTTACCTTGCTGTCGCAGACCCAAGGATTTTGTGGTAAGAAATTCAGAAAAGTGCCTTTTAAAGTGAACAGTTAATTAAATTATTGGTGAAAATTGCAATCGTAACGTAACGTGAGGTGAAATATAGTATCTGACAATTCTGGAGAATTCATTTTGAAGAATTCACTTTCTGATGACTTCAGTTAATACAGATCCGTTTTCATTTAAGGAGGGTATCGTTTACATGCCATTTTCCTCTACAGAACTAGTTTGTAAGAAATGTAGGAACGGGTTTAAACATATCGCCCTTGCACCGGCAACAGTTGTTACTGCGTTTTAAAATAATTCATTGTTCGTTTTACAGCGTTTGGTATAAATGATAATCGAAACATGATTTTAAATTTACATCCTTGCAAAGCGACAGATTGCTAGCTGTTTTTAACCCCAGACTAAGTAATTTTTTCCTTTCTTACGAAATTGAGAAATAATTCACTTAAGTCCCTGCAGCGAATTGGGGGGTGAGGTGGGGGAAAGGGGGTGGGGGTGGGGGGAGTTATCGCTTCACACCGTACGTGCGTAGCGGAGCTCCTCCCGGAGAGTACGCATGGTCGCTGAGCATGTTTCTCTTTACATAAATCTAAAATAGTTTTTAAAATAAATATTGAATTTGTTCCGCTTTAAAATTTACCTCAGCCACCAAATACAAAAGCAGCTTCCCCGCTTGGGGCCCTAATGAGCCCCGTTCCTTGCCTGCGTGCAGACGTCTCCTATTTCCTTTTGTTGCGTGGGAGACGTCTGCACGCAGGCAAGGTTTTCCATGTGCCATTGTGTGCTGACCGTTCTAAATCTTGTGCGAGGCCGCGGAAAATTTAACGTGTACGAGGAAATTATTTCTTTACAATTTACTGTGCATGACACATCACACCATATTTGTAAACAGTGTCTGAGAAAACTACAAAAACGGCGTGGACTTCGCAGCAGGTAGGCAGCCAAAGAAACTAAAATCTTTATTTAGCAGTAACAAACAGAGGTCAAAAAAAATTTAACACTTAACTACTGCATCTGAAATCAAATCCTATCAGGAACACCCACAGAAGCATAACCACAGGAAAAGATTACTCAGTATGCATGTAACAAACCTGCTTCATGATCTCTAAATGTAAGACTTAGTGCAGCAAAAACAAGATTTACTCAGTTAAAGTTTAGAATGCTGCATGTACTGTGTAGTGCTGGTAACCTTCGCGTGGGAGAGAAAAGACGAAAAACCTCTGTTCAAGCAGACTCTCAAGATCACGTTTCGCATTATCACGAGCTTATGAGTCGTGTTTGGCCTGTCAACTCTTATTTCTAACCGGATATTATTTCACAATTTATGCGAAATAAAATACCCTGCCAGCGGGACGCTGGAACACGATTAGCGACGGCGTTACGCAGACGTCCCTTTTCCGCGTGCAACAAAGGAAATAGGAGACGTCTGCACGCAGGCAACCCCGTTCCCGACCCCAAATTGAAAATCACTTTTGCGACTTGATGATAGATGACGAAGGAAGTTGCAAAAGAGTAACTCACGCTCATTTTGTAAATCAATGAATATCAATTGCGTTACAGCAACAAGCCACACGCCACACTGGTCACACGCCATTATTTCTACTATGCTGAATAAGGCAAAGAACAAGTTCGGTCACTTGAGACGGTTCTTTATGCACCGAAGGTTATCGACTTTCAGCTATCATTTATCTCGTCACGCATCTTTCTCCCGAGATAGCCCTGGGAACGAGGTTGACATATGTCTTCGTAACGCGTTCCTTCTCCCCTAAGAACTTCTGCGTGAGCTGTAGAAGGTGACTAAAGACGACAACTAGAGACTACTTCGAGCAATATTGACAGGAACTGCCGAGATAGTGGCGGGCCTCATATTTTCCGCACCTGACAATCTTTTGCCAGTCGTCTATGCAAGAGCCACAATGGCACATTATGGCTCTTGGTTTGTGACATTTTTCGTATCCGTTGCTCTATTAATTAAAGAAACGCACTGATCATAAATTGTTAATATCAGGAGTATTAGTTCTTTAGATTCAAAATCCATTTTTTGGATTTTTCTAAAGAAACTCCCCCCAGCATTTAGAATGCTTTGTTTGATGAGTGGCATATTCATTCCGCATGCCACTGAATTATTGTGAGTTCTAGCATCGCCGAAGGCATGAACGATCATCGCAATTACAAGCTCTTCTATTTCGGGTTATGGGATTAAATAAAAGTAGAAACTCATAAGGGGTTGTGAATTTCTGATAAAAGTAAACAAATGAATTGATTTCTTAGTACAGCAACAAACTCGTCAACCTTGTTGATTAAAAACAACAACGATGATAACGACGACGATTTTACATACGTTGCCCCGGACGAGTTTGATGGTCGTACCTTGAGCATAGACTAACCGAGCTCAGTGACAGTCGTTCGCATGTTCTCTTAAATCCTTAAAGTTGCGTCGGTTGTTGTGTGGTCCCGACCTGTTTGGCTCTTCTTGCCTGGGCCCAGCAATCGTGCAAAACATGAAATACGTTTAACTAAGACTTAATCTGTTTTAGGTTCAAGATTCTTTCAGACAAGCCTTATCCGCTCAGCCGTCAAAGCGGCCGAATGGCTGCAAAACCAACAAGACGAAAATGGTACGTACGGGGAGGGGCACGTGACTGCCGCTGCTCTGCACTCCTCCGGGTTGATTGGGTACCCTGTGGAGAAGAAAGCCGACTTACTGACCGCTGAAATAATTAAAAACGACCTTGGCTCTATTCATGGTGCTAGACTCGGCTCTTACATACTTGGTGCCCTGGCTACCTGCCAGGATCCACATAACATCAACCAATCAAGTTTAATCCTGGCCCTGAAGAGTAAACTTGACAAGTATCCTCATTTGAACTTTGATCACCCCTACCAGTACAGCTGGGCAGTAATGGCCCTTTGTAGCAGCGGGAACATCCTCGGAAAGAAGAAGAGCGACTACGCCAAAAAAGTGATGAATGACATTAACGGACAGCTGGACAGGAATAAAAATTTTAGCGTGGACACTTTATCTATGCAGGTATTGGCTTTGACTTGTATCAAGAAAACCAGGAAAAGAAGAGACGCAAGGGGGCTGCAGAAAAAGCTTCGAGCCAGCATTAACAAGGCGAGTGAAGAACTTAAAAATCGTCAGATAAATGACAGCACGTTTGGAGAGAATGAAGTTTCAGCAGCTCTTGCTTCTCAGGTGAGTAGGGTGAGGGGAGGGAGGGGAGAGGTTGCTGTCATTTGTTAAGTGATGAATCGATAATTGTAGCATTATTTGACCGAGGGAGGTGCTGGTGCATTGTTTACTCAGTAACATTTGGATTTTGTAGCGAACGGCAAACATTAACCCTTTTCTTTCCAGAGAGAATGATGGACTCTTGTAAGGTGGTTCTCACTTTTGACTCTATCTGTGGGTGAAATCCTGCTGTATAACATTAAAATTAATCCTCTTTGACAGTTCTTTCACATGGTGCAATTTACGTTTTCAGCATTTCACAAAATGAAATTTAAATTTTTTTTGTTGAATTTTTACTTTTGCCAATTCAGGAAGTGAAAGGGTTAAGATTGACAGTAACGGTGTGTCACCAAAACCAGTTAAAACAAAGCTAAGCAATCAAATTAGAGAAAGCGATCAACGAATTCAAAACAACCCTTTGAATCAAACAACAGCTTTTATGAAACTATTGTTTGGCACTGGTTACGGTAACCGCCATGTAAAACGTCCCTTGTCACCCACTGCAAACGTAATCCTATCATATCCTCAGCATTGCAGCGGCGTAGCTACGATATTTCCAGAGGTACGCAGAGTTTTACAAATTAACCCTAACCTGTCTTCCTAGTTGTTTCCATGCGGGTGATTTAATTAAATTTCCGTTTTCGTGTCATTAAGGTGAGGTAATGACTTTTTTTTATTTTCATTTTGTTTCTTTTTAAATTTGACATGTTTCAGCCACGCAAATGCGAGCTGGCGCAAGCTACAACGCTGGATTACCCGACCTGCTGGATTGGTAATACCTCTAGACGAGTCAAAAAGAACTACAGCAAAATAATTAAATCAATGAATAAAGGTCAATGAAATGAAACTGGAGCACCCAAATTGATTCTCGTGCTTTGAACTTTTTTGTCATTCAAACTAGGCTCTGTTAGCGGCCGAAGCAAAGAAAACTAAGTGTACCAAGACCATGCGCTGGTTACTATCTCGACAAAAACCCGACGGATCCTTCACCAACCTTATGGCCACAATTGTCGTGCTTCCAACTTTGATCGGAGCCTTACCTTTTGATGTGCAAAATAGATCATGCCCTACGAGTACTACAGGTAAACATTATGGCGTGCAGTATATATTACGCTCTGAGAGAAATGTAGGTAATTATCATGACGTGCAGAACATTCCCTGTTCTGAGGGTACCACAACCAGTCTTGTTTCTCAATGTGGGAGAAAGTACCGATATTTTTTGAGCGACCGGGGACGCACCTCAACCGGAAGTGGAATTTTTGCACTCTTGAGCCTTGATATTGAACAAATGTTTGGCCCAATGTCTCTTTAAAAATAAAGATGCTAAGCAATACAAATTTGGTAGAGTCAAAGCATTCTAAAAGAGAAAAAGGCCCACTTCCGGTTGATGTGCGTCGCGCAAAAACGTCACTGCTTAAACTCAGTCCCAAATAATAATGATAAACATTATGACGCGTAGAATTACCTCCCTGTTCTGAGAGAACTATATTTAGGTCAACGTTATTTAAAAACAACAACAACAAAACAAACGATCCTAGCCTGTGAATACAGCCCGGGGATATCTCTATGGTGGCCAATACGGGGAGACTTCGTCCGAAAGGTGTACCGTTTTCAGGCTTCACCAATATAAAAGGTAGGAATCTCGTGAGATGAAGCATACGAAAGGGCAGGGAAAATTATCATTAGGTGTTTAGGGACGGTTTCTCTTGCGAAACTTCCAAGCAGCAGGAAGTGATAAGAGGCGGCTGTTTTTGTAGGCGAAATCAATCAGTAAATTGATCTAAATTAAATGTGGACTAAATTAGTGTAAGCGGTCTCATTCTTTCACCTGTTTATAAAGAAGATAGCATCTGGGATGCGACTGATTTCACATTTAATTCTTCTTCTGTGAGGTCCATTCCCTTCCTCGAGAGTTGATCATTTCTATCCAAACTGGTTCCAGTTTTAAAAATACAAATGTCTCAAAACAAGCTTTCAGGTTATCATTATTATTTTGTTTTTGATTCTGTTTATAGGTGAGGAGGGAGGAAACGAGGTGAGAAGTTAAAAATGTGAAAATCTAAATGACGAAATAAATACTAGCACAGTTGAGTTACTCTAACAGAGTTTCAAACTTAGTTAAACAAGAAAGAACGTCTGTTTTCATAAAATAAAAGGTTATACTATAAGGTTTTCAAACTTGTAAAACAACGGTAACAAGCTCTATTCTCCAGAGATCTCAGTCACCCAGGTCTGGTGACAAAATGGTTTCGTCTATTCTCCTGTCGCTACACTCAGCTGAATAGAAAATATTTCTGCTATAAGTATGAACAGACAAAACAACACAATAATACATGGAGGGAGCAGCCAGCAATCGCGTTTATTATACCAATAAGAGTTACAACAAAAGCACCAGAATATTACCAAGGGACTGGGGAAATTTGTTCGCTATATCGAACACCTCGATTTTAGTGTGAAATTCACAAAGAGGGGCTTATAAACGGTCTAATGATCTCAATGGGAACTGAACAAAACAATGTGACCAACAACTAAAAGAAATACATCTTATTTTCGGATGTTTCGAGATGCTATTTAATCCATTCGCCACGTGTTGCTAACGGACTAGATGTGTGCAGAAGCTGATAACAAAGCTTTGACCAGTGTGATTCCGTAATTCCACAGATGATAAACGTTTGTGTGGAGCTGCAGTTTGAAGTAAACAAGTACTCAAAAGGGAAAAGCCCTCCTCCCCGCGTATGCGTCAAGGTCCTTAATGGCACGAATGCGCATGACATCCTCAAAGTGGCCGTAAACGAACATCCCTGCTACAACTTCACTGCTGTCAACACGTCCTGGGGCCACATGATCACCTCCATTTGTGAAATTGAACAAAGACATTCGGATAAGTTCTACTGGATGATAAAAATCGACGGCAAATCAGCAGCGACAGGCATTGATGATCTCATACCTTCTGATGGCTCTAATTTGCTTTTTGAATACAAAAAACTTAATTGGGGCAAGTAAGATTAGCTTTCAGGTGGTTATTTTTTATGTATTGGAACAAGTCGACAGTAATTGAAAGAGTTCGTAACATTAGAAAGCGAATTTCAATTTCATCTTCTTTCATTGTTATTTAAACAATAATTTTAGAATTTTGGTGCTGGCAGTTAAGTATTTCCTTTCCTCAGTTAATTTTTAAATTTTCTTTCTTCGTGACAGAAGAATAAAGAATAAAGCATTCAAAAATCGGCGTGACAAAGAAGGGGATTAATAAAGATATTTTACCTGTTTAACACATTTCCACACAAGGTTATACTTATACTGGGAAATAATAAGCTTTCGGAAAATAAGGAAAAGACCGAAAGACGAGATGAATCTGAATTTTTTTATGTCTACACTGTAGAGAGGAAAAGTCGTTACGTCACGTTGCAATGGTAGCAAAATTTCTGGACCTCAAACCGTGGTCCTCAATATGGCAGAAAAAAAACCCGAAAACATTGACATATACTCAGGAACAAAACGGGAGCCCATACTTTTCTTCTATAGTTGGACAATGCTTATGGCCGTCACTGCCAAGAAAGATTGCTGAGAAAAAACTGCGGCAATTCGAACAGACGAGTTGTATCGGCTCTGTCGGGTATATGTTCTTCAAATGCGTTTAATTCGGCTTTTTACCATTAAAACTCTGCTTATTTTCCTGAAATATATCTTTGAATTAATATTTCATACCGACCAACCAGCCTTTTCCGCCCGACATTAAACGGGAAATGCTTAAAATATGATTTGACGTTACCAGACGCATCTCTAGTTTCCTGGTAAGTTAGGCATCGCTCTGGCATCGCCGCTCTTACTACTCGCCCTTAACCTGAGCTCGCGAGGTTCTGCGATACAAGTATTTCTCAAGCACTTCGTGCGTAATTAGGTTGTAGTTATAGTTTTTTTTAGTTACTGAAGAAATCATTTTATAGCGAGTAGCCTAGTGGGTATCGGATAGCTCATTCAAGATGCAATCAACTTTTTTTTAGTCCCTAGGCCTCATTATTCCGCGCGGCCAAAGCGTTACGGGTCACGTGATCCAAGCGCGTTCGCCTTGGAGACGCCTTGGATACGTCACCGAAGAGAATTGACCGAGAGGGACTGGGAAAACGCCGTACAGGGACTAGGCAACAATCGAGTACATTAAAAACCCGCGACTAAGAACCTGCATTTTCCTAAGTTAGCCTAAACCGGTTAGATGGTTATTAGCATAAATTTAGGCTATTTAGGTTCTTATTTTCTGAAGGGAAAAACACACAGCTAAGAGTATTTCGTGGTATCCAGCTTTTTCCTTCTATATTATCTGCATACAAGTATATTGCAGTTGGAGGGAAAGATAGATGTCTCCAAAGAGGATCCTGAATGTTCACGTATCTTTTTGCCCAAGTGAACAGAATTTTTTTTATAGATTTTAGAAAATGAAAACCTGTTTCAAATTTTAAGCTAAACAGGTTCTTACATAGAGAGGCATAGCTGGCAAATTTTGGCCTAACCGGGCTCTTAAAAAACCAGGTTCTTAGTTGCGGGTTTTTACTGCATCGTTCTTGACGGAAGTTTGGACGTGTTGAAAAACTTTCTTGCCTTAATCAATCCACGTTTTATCTATCCAAGTTTTATTTATCCATGGCTTATCCATTTTTAATCAATCCAGTCCATGTTTTACTAATCCAGTCCAGTACAGTCCTATTTTATAATATGTCCTGTTATGTAGGTTTAAAAAGTAACTTATTTTGGGGGATTTTGCTACAGTATTTGAAAAGTCATTGAATTAGGAAAAGTATTAATCTTTCACGCATTCGTAGCAAAACTCGGTAACAGATGTTTTCTGTTGGTTTTCGGCTACCATGTTGAGGGGTACTAACATGGTGTCTCCATAAAGCTCTATAAATTTAGATAAAACATTTCTCCGAATATCTCGCATATGAAAAATTGCACCGACCTGAATCTCGGCGAGGGTCTTTGTATATTTACGTTCTTTTATTTCCCGGATTCTAGACTTGATCTATTGAACGGTTTTGATTTTTATCTTTGATGGCGTGACAGTGAAAATCAGATTCCGGAATCGGTGAAATTTTTGCTTATGGAATCCGGACTCCGGGAAAATTTTGCTTGTGGAATCCGACATCCTGGGCTTTGAAATCCGGAATACAGCTCAAGGAATCCAGAATCCTAGTTCCACTGACAAAGACTAGAATCCAGTAACTGGAATCCGGAATCCGCGGCGTAGAATCCAGAATCCAAGACTGTCTTGGATTAACACACATGCAGCGAGGCAATTATGGCTGGCTCAAGAGTTTCGTTCTCAAAATATCTAGAACGCCATTCTGATTCTCTACCGCACACAGAGCAAACGAATGTTATATTTAGATACATGACAGTCGACAAAATTCATTGTGGGTTGAGCATGACACCCAACCTCGTTCCCAGAGCCTTTCCCTTGAAAATGGAAAAAGCCCTGGGAATGAGGTTTGATGACACCCGCATCCACGCCAGAGCAGAGTGTTCAAATGTCAGCTGTCAAAGGACTTAGATGAGGAAAGCAGAAAAACCGGTTAAGCAAGGACCCTGTAACTTTGGGTGATACGTGTTGGACCTGAAGTGATCACGCGACGTGGTAAGTCTGCACGAGTAAAATAAAGTGATCAACGTACTGAGCAAAAGTGGCAACTGAAAAGCTACATGCAAGATATCATTACTCACCAAACGCTGAACAGTCCGTGCAGAAATACATTGCGACTATAATGCGCTGAAAAGATTACTTAAACGGAATTAACCTGTCCGAAGGTGAGCGATTATTTCAGCGAGAGATTTTTACCTCAACGCGTTAGCGTATACCGTTCCACTAAGCAAACTCTTCACGCCGCGCGATTTTATGGTTATGTGACAGTAGCAATTTTGGCGGGAACTGGCGAGAACGTGGTGGACCTCATAGTAGGCAGCTTGAGCAGAGACGTTTTTGAGCAACGCACGTCAACCGGAAATTGACTTTTTGTATTCTTGGGCAGTGATTTTGCCCTAATTTTAGGGCAAATCGTCTCTATAAGGCAAAGATAAATAGCGATACAAATTTGTTCGCTTCAAGGCATTTTTAATAAAAGGGAGAAGGCCTCACTTCCGTTCGACGTGTGGTCGTTTTGATTGTGGTCACGCATGCTCATTGATACCGCTGTTTCTAAATTCGGTGAAACTCATTTTCGACCCCAGTACTTACGATTCTGACTGCGTGCGTATAAAGCTTCTTTCTTCTCTCCCTGACGGTCATGCGCAGAGCAGATCTGGTTTCGAGATTGTGGTGAAACTCTGTCTGGTGTGGTCGTGACTATCTCGTCCTCAGTCGCTCGCGATCGTTTATTTTGAGGAGAGAGAGATGGGAAGGAGAGAACAAGGGGAAACTGCTCTTGGAACGATGACAAGCAAGTATCACCTTTCCTAAGTTGATCTTTAGCTACTTCCGCCCTCCTTTGGATTTTAGTGTGCGTTGTTCAGGCTTCACCATCGCACCAAGGAATCATGAATTACCATTTGGAGTCAATTTTGGTATTTTTTACTTTGTTATCCCAAACACAAGGATATTGTGGTAAGGAATCCGATAAGTGCTTTTCAGAATAATAGATTAACAGGGAAAATTGCATCGTTAATGCAAGGCATGAAAAAAATAGATCCTAAAAGGGCAATTTCAAGGCGATCACATTCATAAATATGAGTGATTCACACGTTCTCAGTCAGAACAGTCGTTTTTGACAAGCGATTTGCCTTCTGACAGAACTAGTTTGTTAAGAGTATTTTGACGAGCTTGAAAGCATCGGGCGTTGCGTCAATGGAGACATTTTCTCTACAATTACGTTTTCCTTTGAAAACACTCTCATAGCGATTTAAGTAATTTGAATTGACGACCCAATCATTATTTTAATATGTACTTTTCTCGCACAGCGAGAAAAAAATAGTTATAAAGCTATAATTGGGAGGGGGCGGGGGTCTTGCTGTGAAACTGAGGAAGATAATACGAAATTTTTCCTTGGGTCAGGGGAGGGAGAAAGTGGTTACCACCACACGCGTGGAATTTTAAATAGCTATATTTATTTTGACTATGTGTTCAAAAATAAGTATAGAGTTTTCGGTTCTGAGAATTTCTTTGAAGGATTCGAAGATGACGCCAAGAGTTGTACAAGGAATCATGCTTAACAAGGTGGCGATTTTTTTCATAGTAAGCCCTCCCTGCTCGGGGCCCAGCTGTAATCAAGATTTCAAATTCTCAACTACGTTGGTGAAATGATGACTAATTAACAAGGTAGTTGCCTTACACCAAATGAGTTTTGAAGGGAGCAAGACAGAAAAAAAGTTCATTGAATATCGATTGGCGTTAAACCCTTGCTTCGCTGACCAGGGTAAAGTAGAAGGGCTATCACGTGAAGCCGATTTTTATGCACTTCAGTATCAGGATAAACCACATTCTTTGGGCGAATCCCAGTAACAAACTTTAGCTCGTGTATACCTTGCCTTCAGAGGTCCGTTCTCAAAGAAAAATATCTACGACACCAGCATCCTGCTTCCCTTTTTCCCCGCATGCCAAACCGCAAGGATCGTTCGTTTCTTGCTGCTGGGTACCTTTGCTGTCGAATCAGTTAGTACATGGCCCTCGATAGATCTAGCGAAATTTTAATGTTAATACATTGTAAATACACGACGAAATTCTATTTTTAGGATAAAACACTCATCCATGCCAGAGCCACGCTATCTGGATAGAGTTTCTTGTGTGAAGTTCAAATGTCGATAGTGAAGAGATTTAGATGTGGAAATAAACATGCACGCCAGCACAAGAACCTGTTTTGTGAGATTGCGTGAAATTGAGGCCGGTAAATCGAGTGACAATCGTACGTGTTGGACCACGTGATCACAAGGAGGCTTTGTGTTAAGTACACTGTCGGCTCGAGTAAGATTACGTCCATGTTCAAAGTACAGAGCAAAAGTGACTACATCGAGCAGTCAACATTTCGTGCATGCAGAAACACATTCTATTAAACTAAAGTGCACTGAAATGATCACGTAAACGGAAGTAACCTGACCTGAGCAATGACCTGAGCGATCATTACAGCTTTAGCGTGCTGCGCGCGTCATATGTCGCGGCTTCGCCGCTCGTGCGGCGCGATCAGTTGGATCATTAGGACGAAAAACGTAACTTTCTGGCACCAAAGGTATATTTTTACAATTTAGGCGCGAACTGGCGCGAACGAGGTAGATCTCACAGTTTTCCCACAGGGTAGATAGTCTATCTGACAGCTTGTCAGATAATAGAGGATGTTAGCATCGACAACGAGTACGAGTTCTAGAACGAGATCAACGATTTTGCTTACTGCGCATCCGTTCTGCGCATCTCCACGTTTTCAAGACGTCCTGTCAAGTTGCACTACGACGAGTTCTCACCAAAAACTCGAAGTGGGTAGAACGACTGGGAAGAGCTGGTTTTCAAAGGTAAATTCCGATCGTTTAATGCAGTTTCTTTTCGTTTCTAGCCTCTCTTTATCATCTTGAACATTCCTTATATTATCTTTTATGTAAAATACTGCTTTTGAAGTCGGGGAAAAGCAACCTAACGCGATATTTCCTACACAGAGTAAATTTGCATTTACCCGGGAAAGTTTCATGTCTCTCCACAGGCCTCACAGGCTCACGAGATAACCCCGAAAATTGCCATTATTTGGTCGAAAATATCCCAACAGTCGAAGATATCAATAAAGAATACTTACTTCTTTATCCAGTGTGGTTGTTGTGTTGAATTTGATGGGAGAATACACAGCCCTTCCTCTGTATAGGCCGCTGTTCGATTTTCGCACACAAATTTTTCCGGTAGACGCAAAATACGACCAAGGTAGGGAATGACCTTGTCGCTAAAACGAAAGCGGCTGAAGCACTCTTCCTCGGAAACTTCATTCAGGTCGAATCTTCGATACTTTCCATGCTCAAATACAGGATAATCTGTGCTGTTTACATCATATAAAGCACAAAATTCTTCTTCGTCCAAAAAACCTTCCATGTAACTGAGTAACAAGCAGTCTTGAACGTTTTTTAGAGTCATTTTTTGTTTTCCAAATTGTTGTGGAAGCGCTACCTCGACTCAAATTTGGCGCCCAGTCATGCGGAATCCCATAATTTTATTTTCTATAAACTCGAACTCGGTGTCATCGCTAACATAGAAAGATGAGAAAACGACTTCGAGTACGAGTACGGCTTGAAGTCGTTCTCGTACTCGTACTCGTTGTTGATGCTAACATCCTCTAATTAACTAAACAACACGAACGTGATAACCTTTGCCTACTTACATAGCGGTTAATGATGGATTAAGGAAATGCCGCATGCTCAGTGAGATCCGCTTTGAAATATACTCAATCTAAAACTCTCCACCAAAGTCTGGTGTTGTCGTTTTTGCTATGTTTAGTTGCTTGCGTTAGTACACACCAACACTCCGTGCCCTGGAGGCTGGATGTTGAGTAAAAACGTAACCATGTCGATATTCAATCGCGTATGCCAAGGGTAACCTCGATAATCTAAGTAACCATGTCCATATTCAATCGGGATTCAGGGAGCTTGGAATCTTTTGAAATCTACACATATCATTCAGTCCATCGCGTGCAGCCCAACAATATTTGGGACCAATGAAATGAATCAACGTGTGAAGGCGAAATGTAATAAAACAATATTTGAAGTCCAATGTTATACGAAGCTATTTTCGAAGCATTTCGTGTGTCTGTGGGCTTTCTATCGATTAAAAAGTTCTAGTTATTTAGATTCCGCGTAGAAAGAGATGTTTGGTTTGTGTTTAGATACGCTTCGACATGTTTTAACATCTTTCGAGTAGGAAATTTGCGTTGGTTTCCACAACCACATCCTGTAAGAATTACGAAACAAAACGTGATTTGGATTAGGGTCACTAAAAAATAACCCTTGAGATAATAGGCAAGGCTCTTATCGAGCTATCACAAGCACAATGACATGTGTATACCGGCGAGGACACTTTTATCGAGGTTAGTTGTTTTGCGGTGCACTGTACTTTAAAGATCTGTTCTGTGGTTTCCTTTTAACGCTTAAGTTTGTTTTGCCAGATAACAACTGCTATGCATCGGCATGCACTTGAGAATAATTTCATAAGCCCGCGTTCTCATCCAACATTTAACTAAGCCATATTTTTTTAGGTTCAAGATTCTTTCAGACAAGCCTCACCCGCTCAGCTGTCAAAGCGGCCGAATGGTTGCAAAACCAACAAGACGAAAATGGTACTTACGGGGAAGGGCACGCGACTGCCGTTATACTGCACTCCCTCAGGTTGATTGGGTACCCTGTGGCGAAGGGAGCCAACGTATTGACCGCCGGAATTATTAAGAACGACATAGGCTCTATGCCTGGAGGTAGAGTCGGCTCTTACATACTTGGCGCCATGGCTACCTGCCAAGATCCACATCACGTCAACCAAACTAAATTGATTCGAGCCCTGAAGACCAAACTAGACAAGTACCCTCACTTGGGCTTTAACCATCCCTTCCAGTACAGCTGGGCAGTTATGGCGCTCTGTAGCACCGGAATTGATCTTGGTAAAAAGAAGCTCGCCTACGCGAGGAAAGTGATGAAAAGCAGTAAACAACGGCTGGCCAGAGAAGAAGGCTGTACCGGTGACACGTTGCACATGCAAGTGTTGGCTTTGACATGCGTTGAGAAAACCCTGAAAAGAAATGACTCCAGGTGGCTGAAGGAAAAGATTCGAGACGCCATTAAGAGGGCCAGTGACAGAATTGTGAAAAGTCAAATGAACGACAGCACGTTTGGAGAGAATGTAGTTACAGCAGCTCTTGCCTCTCAGGTGATTAGAGAGAAGGGAGGGAGGGGAGGGGTTGCTTGTTGTACACTCAATCAAATGAGAGAAAATATTGCAGGGGTTAGGGGAGTGGGGATGTTTGATGGGGTGGGGGAGGGGGAAGAGAAAAAGGAAGGGAGTTTCTTCTCCATTTGCTGTCTCTTCTTTTCGCTTCTCTCTTTCCCTTATCCCATAGAAAGGCTTTATACTCAGGCTAAAAATGTTAAAAAGAGTTACAGTGCGACTATGCTAACCATTCAGATCAAAGGAATTATGGAATGTCAGCAAAAAAGTAGTTTGAGCCAATCAGCATCGGCTCAAAAGACTTTGTATTTTTATTCATGCCAGACAGCTAATTTATTATAATTAAAAAAAGATGCAATTACGTAGAAAGTAATGGCGAGGAGGCCTTCAGGAAAATATATAGCTTGGAGAACTGCCAATTTGACTAACAATAGACGACTGTTTAACTGTGACAATAGACGGATCGAAACACACCAATGACATCACGAGTCTTCGTAGCCAATAACATCACGGCTTCACTGACAGACGACTAATAACATCGCGGCTTAATTAACCGATCAGATCAATAACGAGAGTATAATACCGTCAACTGACGTGATACAACTCACTTTGACTCTGAAGATGACTACCGCACTGGTTGTCTAAATGTCAGTGACTGTCAATAACAAAAGTCCTATTCAAGACTACGTTCACCCGGACGATCAAACTCAATCTACTTTTAAAATGACTCCTGGGTTCAAACCTTTCACAGTCTTATATAGCTTATGTTAATTAGGCCTCCTCAAATACAATTTTTCATAGATAACATAAAAATTAGGTGACGGATACAATTATTTATCAAAAGGAAAATAACTTTTAAAAGCTTTCTCTATTCTGATTGATTAGTTTCGTTAAGCTGGCCCTGACTGATAAAGTCGCACTGTAAAACGCCCATTCCTTTGCAAACGTAATCCTATAGGGATTGCATTAACTTGTAATAACTCTATACGGGTAAAAAAGATTCAATAATAATAATTGATAGCACGCAAACCATTTCTTGCTCTTTTAATTTAACATTTTTTTCTTCTCACTCTCACAGGCTCTGTTAGCGGCCGAAGCAACAACAGATCATTGTCCAAAGACCATGGGTTGGCTGGTGTCTCGACAAAAACCCGACGGATCCTTTACTAACCTGCTGGGCACCATGTACGTGCTGCCAAGTTTGATCGGAGCCCTACCGTATGACCTACAGCATATACCTTGCCCTAAGAATACTACAGGTAAACGTTATGACGTGAAACTAGTGTTGGGAATCGGATGAGATTTCATAATCGATCATCGGAAATAATCGGATTCACCCAACCGATCCATCATCGATTATAATCCATTTTGAACGGCCGCTGGACTTTGTTTTAGAACACAACAAAAACATACGAAATGTAAAAGAAAATGGACATATATACAACCCAAGTTTTTAATATATTTTTTGCCACCAAGAAGTTTTATTTTTTCTCGCGATAATCGATTGAACATTTACTGACCATAATCGCTTATGATCGGCACACCATTATCTGAAAGCACTGCATGTATTCACAATGTCCTGCTATCTATTTCACAATAGATACTGAGTACGTTAGCCAATCAGATTCAGCGCGGAATTCTTGATAGCATGCTAGTTGGTTTTTACTAGAATTTAAAATTCTCTTTTTGATCCTGCTTGTAGGTGCCAAGGAAGACACTAAGGTAAGAAATTAAAGTGTGAATTTATCAGCAATTTACAGCTGAAGACCAGAAATTCCAGTTGTGGTTTGACCCCTTGACTCCGTTTGCTTGGTTCGTATAACTTCAGACAAACAAAATTCAAGGACTTTTCAAGAACATTTCCAGGACAAATCGCAGTTTTCAAGAACTAAGATAAATTCAATAAATCGGCATTCTTTGACCCCCTTTTGATTGGCTAAAACACTCAATGGAGTCAATTACGATTTTTACTTCTTCAGCCATGTTTGATCACATTATTTTATACTACTTCCCGTAACACCACTTTGCAAAATGGCAACAGTCACTGGGTATGACTTGCAGTTGCATCTGAAAAATAATATATCGTTCATGCACAAAAAAAAATTTACCCTGGTTTTTACGTTACTCGTGAGTTTTACAGGTTCTTAGACCGAGGATGAGCTAAATTTTCCTCTGCAAAATAATCTTATTTCACAGACAATGATGCGGTGTAAAGAGACCAAAGTAGTGAATTTCAAGGACTTTTTAAGACCTTATGAAGAAATAAGTACTTTTCAAGGACCTTAACCGAATTCAAGGATTTTTCAAGACGACTATAAAATTCAAGACCTTTCCAAGATTGTACGAACCATGGTTTGGCAAGCATAAGAAAAACGTGCTAATGTTTGTTTTGATTCATTTTTTCCCACTGTCTATACCTTGTGAAAGGTTCTGGTTGTATACACTCTCGAGTAGACTTCGCTGCATTTTCCTCAGGATTAAATTTGATCGTTGAACGTTTATGTACTAGAGGTAATCATTGATTACGGATCCGCGTTCGTCACTTACGGGAACGAAATCGAGTCGAAAGGAGTCAGTTTCCCGGCCGAGATGCCCCTGATAAAATCAGTGGGTGCGGCTAATTGGTAGTCGCCCACGATCCCTCGAAAATTTGTGGCTTTGTACCACTGGAACACCAAGATTAGGATGTGTTCTGACGAACGCCATGAGCAGTGATTTTGTTACAAATAGTTATGGTGAGTCCTGGGACTCATCTTGCGAAAAATCATGAGTCCCAGTTTTTTCCACAAAAACACTGTTCAGTTCGATCGATTGATGTTTGCGTTTTGCATGCCATGAATTATTGATCACTGTATGAGATGTTCATGTAAACGACGTTTCCTATAATAATTATTTTGACCAGCGCAATTTCTTTAATCCGCAGATGATAAACGTTTGTGTGGAGCTGCAGTTTGAAGTAAACAAGTACTCAAAAGGAAAAACCCCTCCTCCCCGCGCATGCGTCAACGTACTGAAGGGCACAAACGCGCATGACATACTGACAATGGCCGTAAAGGAACATCCTTGCTACAAGTTCACTGTTAAAATGACGTCGTGGGGCCGAAGTATAATGTCTATTTGTGACATTACGCGAAGACCCGTAGATAAATACTACTGGATGATCAAAATCAACGGCAAATCCGCCACAACAGGAATCGATAACCTCAGACCTTCAGATGGCTCTCATTTGCTTTTTGAATACAAAAAGCTTTATTGGGGCGAGTAAGATTTTCACAGGTTAAGATTAGCTTTCAGGTGGTTAATTTGACTGACTGAATCGTTTCATTCTAGGCAGTAAGTGGCAGTGTAGTTTGAGAAAGTGTACTTTGTAATGGATTTTCAGCAATCTAAATTCATTTTTATTCATTGTTAAGGACTAATAAATAGATTTGGAAGTTAAAACTGAGCTCTTCTCAGTTAATTTATTGAATTGAGGAGTTTCTTTTTTATGTGCTGCAATGCCTTTGTTACGACCAACTAGATTTGCTCTACCCATTTAGATTAGCCCTGCTATTTGCTGGTAGGGTGGTATGTAACTTTTCGATCTGTTGTTGAACAAACTTGAATAAACTTTATAATGGTGTAAAATATTGTAGAGGAGATGCAACTGGACGTAACTTAAAGCTTAAGATATTTTAACTCGCAGACAGGTTTGCTCACAAGAATTTACCTGAAGAAAAAAATCGGCTTATAAAACGTACAGGGTTCGTACCCTTTTATGAACGAAAAATTTGAGGATTTTCAAGGACACATTTCCCATTTTTCAAGGACCTCATTCGGTACAAAAAAAACCCTTGAGTCTATGTTATTTTTAGCTCTTCCACAACATGAGTAATTTTATCCGGAAGGTCTTTCTGTGTTTGCTCCTTTTTCTTTGGAGTTCTACTTAAACTATAGAGTTAGCATTGAAATTCAAGGACTTTTCAGCAGCGACTGCAATTTTCAAGGACTTTCAAGGCCTTGCATTTTTATTTTAAAATTCAAGGACTTTCAAGGTGCGTGCGGACCCTGAAAGTAAAATGGGAAAGAAGGCAATAATACAGGAAAAATCTGCATTTTTTACATCTACACAATTTACAACTTTACATAGAGTTTCAAAAATTTACAGACTATATCTTAGTCTGACACGAAATTACACTCGATAAAGCGAGGTTCCGCGAAGTTCTGCTTGAAAAAGACTAGATTTTAAATGTATCGCCGGCAAACTCTTGTACCCAGAATGCTCGGGGTTGTTCACGAAGAAAACTTTTTCCATATTTAATGGTACGCGTTCAGTCGAAATGTGCCGTAATGTAACGTACGGCCTTGCCTTGTCACGCAAGTGTCCTTCTAGTCATGCACAATCGCGTGACAGTGAAAAAGGCCGATGGTGCCTTCTGTTGCAATTACATGTGGATCGATTAAGTTTCTAGGTAACTGACCCCCTACCCCTCCCCTCAGTTACAATTTTGCCTTAAGTGTTAGGTCAGTGTTAATGTTGACTTAGGGGAGAGGTAGGGCTTCAAGCTAAGCAGTAGGTTGGCTCATTGACGATTGTGATGTAAGCTTAACACTTGGAATTTCTCCAGGGTTGATCTTTAAAAATAATTATTCAAATGCTGTCCTCCTTCTCGGAACAAACTGCGAAGATATAAACATATTTTTGAAGATCTGAGTTTTGTTTAGATACAGTCGAACCCCGTTAATATGGACACGGAGGGGGTCCTAGAAATTGTCCGTTTTAAGCGGGTTGAATTTAAAGAAAATGTAAGGGCTTTCTTTCCCTTGGAACAAAGCAAACTGTCCGTAATAATGAGGTGTCCGGGCTTTGACTGTACTTCTGTCTGCACCAACCAAGCCTTGGTGGTAATGTACACCAAGTCAAATCGAAGAGCAGTTGAATTCCAGTATTACTGTGTTGGAACTTTAATGTAAGGACGGACCAAGGGTTGGAGAACGTTTGTCATAACAGGGTTCTGTTGCACACCTTTCCTCATAATTGGCGGTTAGAGGGGTTGGGAGAGGAGAATGTCATTCGATATATCAGGGTTATAGAAGTTTGTTATCAAGGCTGTGTTATAAGAAAAACTAAAAGGAGACCATTGCTCTGAACCTAAGAAATCCAGATTTCATAATAGTCCAAAAGCAAACTGAGGTGTGGCGCGGGGGCCACCGGGCGCCGCAAGAGCACAGGACTGGTTATATTGGGGGTTTTACTGTCTAGTCAAACATCGAACATGGATCGTTCTTCAGCCGAAAGCTGATCGTACCATGTCGGTCAAACATAACACCAATCGTAATTCAGTCGACCTTGGATGGCACTGGAATCCACCCAGTCGCAAGCTACTGGTGGTGTGGATTGTCTCTGACAGCGAATACTGCAACCTGGCGGCGCTTAAGACATGGGCTTAAACATCTTCATATTGGGTTTTAGGAAGGCTTATAAACGGAGTGGCTTGTATCTGAGCAGGCTTATAACCACAATAGAAAAAGCGACTCGAAACAAGCTTTAGCAGTGATCATAAAAATACGTTTTGCACTTACTGGTTTTAATTGAGCTTCAAAACGTCATAACAAATCGAAGCCATTTCAGTGCATTTGCTTATATCCTAAGGGGCATAAAATCGGATGTACTTTGGCTTACAGGTGGATGGGCCTATAACAGGGTGGGGAGGGGGGCTTATAAGTGGGCAGTAAACGGTATATGCTGCTTTATTCCCCAATCCACAGCCACCCTCTGTTTTTTAGTTATTGCCCATTCGATCATATCCCGTGGAAAATAAGTCATAGAAGTGTGGAAAAGGTCCCTACCCTCGCTTGAGGTCCTCTAGCTCTCATGTGATCCGCCTCTTGTCTCAGCATCTGATTATAGGCTTCTTTTTCTCGTCTGAAAAGAAATTTAAGTGGTTTCAGAGACGACGTCGAGCGAAACACGCGAGGCACGAAATTGACCACACATGTGCGCGCGCGTGCTCTTTCCTCACTAAATTTGAAGAAATAAAAAGAGACTGCTCGCAGTCGACGACGATGACGACAAATTAAAATGTCACCCTGAAAACCGTAAGAGGCTGCGTGTACGGTAGAAAGTTCGGGGGGAATTTTGGCGGTGGAGCCGCCAGTGTAAGCCGGCGAGAAAAATTGGTCGAGGAAAGGTCGTTTAGCGTTTTCTTTGTTCCATTTAAATTCTTGCCACCTTTGCTGGCTCGCGCTGGCGGTTTCGACGCCAAAATTTTCCCTGAACTCGCACAAGTGATCAGCGTCAGATTACACCTGTATTATGGACCACTTTCTGCAACCTCGTTCCCAGGGTTCTCTCCTACCCGCCCTACGGAGCGGGTAGGAGAGAACCCTGGGAACGAAGTTGCACTTTCTGTTTTGAGCAATACGAGGGGGAGGGGGGTCCGGTTATACAGACCCTGAAATAAGGGGGACGGTCTCAGTTTGGTCTAAAAATAGAGGCGAGAAGGTGGGGGGCTCCCCTGGATCCGCCACTTATACTTTCTGCATAAGACGACATTACCTACAGTGACGGTACCTACCTCTCTCTTTCTTGCTCTTCTTTTTCAATTTGTTGTGCTTCTTTCGCCTTTTCTCTGCGTGAAGTTATCTGTTAATAGATAAATTACCAATTAATTCCACTGAGCGGCTGACTTGCGGGCGACTTTGGGACAATTTTTTGGCTTCCGGAAGGTGTGAGTTTACGAGAACTTTCACTATGTTATGGAACGGGAGGGGCGCGAGGGCTAAATAAAGCAAATTTTGCACTGGGATTTGCTATGCCAGAGCGGGAACGATCTGGAAATTACTTTTTGGCCATATAAACACATCCCTACTTCACAAAAATGTCCTTTCAAGTGGACCTCGAAAACGCAGAGAAAGAAATAGTACAATAACGGAGCCGCCTATGTAAGAAAAGCTTATTTTAGATCTTTCCTTGTGAAATAGCCTGAAGAAATGTTAATAATATTGTGATCTTGCCTGCTCTTGAATCTCTTCCTCTCTTTCTTTCCGTTGCCTGACTTCCTCGGCTTTTTCTCTCGCTGTCATTCGCTGAACTTCCTCCAGTTCTCTGAGAAGCTCTTCTCGACTCTTAATAGACTCCTGCTGTCTTCGCTTATTTTCCTCCATTTTTTCATCCAGTTGGTTCCTACGCACTTCAAGAACCTGATGGCACAATAATGGCATAATTTTATTCTAATACGACGGTATAATCAACGACGAATGACAAAAGATAGGTGTGGTTTTTGATGACTTCGCGCTGCTTCGTGAAAGCGTTAGCCTGCGAATACAGCCACTAAGGACGAGGGGAGACGGCTGTATTCGCAGGCTATAAAAGCGTCTGCTATAATGTCAAAATTTTCCTAAGAAAGTCAAACATTTCATGCGACAGTGCAAAAGAAATTAATGTCTAATGAGTCTGAAAAAAAAATCTGAAAAAAAAAAAAAATACGGCTGAGTTGTAAGCTTAAATCTTCTTCGCGAGTACAACCCAAAATCAAAGGATAAACGAGAAAATAAACAAGTTACAGATAGGCGGCTGATTCGTCCCCAGTCGTCTCTCATACTCCTATTTGATGGTGGGAGCGTGAGGGGTGAAAGGAAGGAGAAAAGAGGGGCAACGACTGGTAGATCACTTTTGTTTTCCTCCTTTGAAAATGCTTCTTGGGTTTTGTCCTCCGCGCGCGATCCAAATAGAGTCGACTGAGGACGAGTCCGGAAAGGCGCTGTATTGGTGATCGGCCCCTACAATCGGCCGCCTTCCGGCCGTCCGACATAACAGTACGTGCCGCTCCCGTACGTTGTACACATAACTTCTGTACCTCAGCCATAAGCCTTTCTCTGGCCAGTCTTTCTCTTTCCCACTCTGCCTCTCTCTTGGTCCACATTCGCGCCGCTTCGTCTCTGAAAATCAAAGAAAAAAGACAGCAAACTTGAAGTCTCCAACTTACAACTGATTGTTACAAGACAAGCTCTTTCATACTGTCTCCACAACCAATTGCAGTGCAGTTTTCGCTTGTTAAGAGCTTCAGAACGTTACTTACAAACAAACAAAAAACGTAACAGTACAGACTGCATCTCCCTTTCGGTCACCGCAATAGTCACAAACGACTAAAACAACGTTGGAATGCCCTTTCTTAAATCAAAAAGGCAGCAATGCTTTGAAATTTGTTAAAAAGAGTATCGGAGCTGGATTAGGACTAGGAATTTCAGTTATTTACAAAATTTACGGCGAAAACAAGCATCTGGGATAACTAGACCACCTCATTCGTAGCAGCGTAACCGCAACATATATTGTCCTTGATAAGAATAAAAAAAAGAAGAACTCCCCAGTAATGTCGCCAAGAAGAAGCACAAATGAAACCAAAGTGACACAGGCGAAGTTAAAAAAGATATAATACATCATAATTTGAAATAATTCTGCCAAAATGTTTAAAGGTTCAGATTGATGTCCGTTATAACGAGAGTTAGAACAATAAACTTGTGCAGTCGGGACCGAGAAAGGTCATAGGTCTCCGTAAGTCCATAATGTCGAGAGTTCGTACTAGCGGGAGTCTGTTTCGGTCAAATGTCTATAATTTTTGCCGAGGATTTAGCAGCTGTCCGTATTAGTGGAGTGTCCGCAAGGCGAGAGTTAACTGTAAAGAGTTTTCAAAGTATTATTGTTCTCCCTCCAGTAGTTCGAGGTCTTTTTTAATAGTTCTCTTACCAGAAACTTAACTTATAATTGTCACTTCTTAAGTTACTGTGTGGTATAACAGTTTCGCTTGTTGCGTTCGAAGAAAGCAAAGTTAATTTCGCCCTTCATGCAAAACAATTTGAAAAAAAAAACAGTTTCTTGTTTTGATTCTGATGTCCAGCGAGGTTAGTTAAATGATGTTCATGTAAGCTGTACCTGTAGAGCATGTCCAACTCTGCTTCTCGTTGTTGTTCCAACTTCAACTGGTCAGCAACAACCTGTGAAATAAAAACCGGTTTTATCCGCTTAGTTACGTGAAACAATACTAAAACTCTAGCCAATCAAAACAAGAGAAACCAAAGAACCAATCAGAAACCAGGCCAAAGATTGAAGACTGAGTGACGAAGACTGATTGATTTCCAACGTAATTTAATACCTGTCTCATATACTCTGCATCAGCTCTGGCCTTTTCACGACGTGATGTCTGTAGTGCTTTGTCTTTATCCTCCTGTTAACGAAAAATAATAAAAGAAAACAAATGGCTTCGGACGACACGTACGACACTGTCTGTATAGACTCCAACGATTTAAAACTATTATTAGAAATTCCGGTTACCTGCTTAGCCAGCCCTTCTAAAATCTTCAAGTCAAGTTCCTACATGAAAGAAAGGGAATTTTTCAGTGTTAAAATGTTTAACATTCACAAGATTTGAACTGGATTATAGTTCAAACACAGCTCAAGGTATGTTTTACAGTGGAACCTAGATATAACGAACTTATATAAAACGATGTCCTCGGTAGAACGAACGATATTCTTCGCCCCAGTTATGAAAAGAACCTCGGTATATTATAACGAAACCTTGTTATAGCGAACTTATTTGGCTAGTCCTCGGGGCCTTCATTAAATGGAGGTTCCACAGTAAAATGAACTTAAACCCTTGATGACTTTTTTTTTAATCTGTAAAATGAAATAAACTAAAGGTGACTTGCTAATAACTATCCTTGAGCTGGCGTTCATTCTAGCAAGCGCAAAAAATCGGGAAAAAAAGATAAAGCTCACACACTGCCAACTTCAGGGCTCGCACAAAAAAAATCCTGATGGTTCTGGGAAAGTTAAGGCAACGTTTTCAAGTTCTTCCACTGTTATAATTTGCATTTTAGTACGTGAAGGAACGTGTACTCTCTACAGTGGCTCTACAGTTTTAGGAAACCGCACCCCTCCCTCTCCCCCTCCCCATGTGATAAAAACCTTTTCACTTTAAACGTATGTACATGTCTTTAGTTTAAGGGGGTGCTTTAATATTTATCATCTCACAATCGTTATCACTCACCAGTGCCTCCTGTATCTCTCTGCTCTTTCTTTTCATCTGAGCTTTGTGTTGACGGATTAAGACCCGGCTGCAAAATAGTTCAGTAAACATTCATCTCCTTACAACAACTTGAGAACAAACAGCCAAAATGTACGATCTTTAAAAATGTTCTTTGACATGACAACATTAATGACTACGATAAGAAACCTTACCCAAATTCCCGCTTTCTCCTTGCTTCCTCTAACAATCTCCTGTCTTCTTCCTAAATCAGACCAAATAAAAAATATAAACGCTACATGCACGCTGTATCTCTAATGAGCACAAGTCTACACTTGCTATTTTAGCTAATGCAGCTGTGAACGAGCATAAGATGATGAGCTGCACTGGGGTACTTGACTTTATGTACTGTGTTTTAATCTTCATAAGACAAACTGAAGACCACCCGATAGTCCTCTAGTAATCTGCATTGATCTTTCAACATTTTACTTCTTTATCCATGAACAGAATTAAAAGTACTCACAGCTTGCTCAAGTTTCCTTTGTTCTTTGATCAAATCCTCCTGCTCCTGTTTCAGCATAAGAACCTGTAAAAACACATTATGATAAGACTGATACTCTTGACAAGAGTTACTGATGTTAGACATAAGCAATGTTAATGTTAACGGTTTGTTTATTCACAGGGACTTTGTGATACCTCATTTTCTTTCCTGTTGCTTTGTTACAAGCTTCAGGTAGTGAGGATTTGCTTTTATAAACGTACTTGAACCTTTTTAATAGTGGGGAAAGATCACAATGTGCGAGTGTCTGTATCAATTAACCAGTCGTTTCGATATAAGCTGACTCAGTCATGGAGTAAATAGTTTCACATATTTTGCTAAAAGATCAAGGAACATTCAGCCCATACATGTATGTTTTTCTCATTCGTGTACGAGCTATACTTGAAAAGAGAGAGAAGTCAGATTGTTTTTATCATTTTTGAGTTATTGCCCCATTGATTTACACTGTACTGGATTCTCTTTCTCATTCCATGCTATATTTCTGTAATTGTGGCAAAATCCTCTCCTAGATTAAACTGGTACAAATCAATCATACTGCATATTCTGGTTAACAATACTTACAGTAAGTACATGAGTGGAATCATACCCAACAGATAAAAGTGAATAACAACAGGTTTATTAAGTGTCTATTGCATGAAAGGCGAAATATTCTGTGGTTTAGCAAGCCTTTTTCGTGATTTTAAGGACAGGGTTCAGGCCCTGTGCTGTATCTGTCATCATGTAGCTAACCTGCATGACAGGCGATTTTTTTTCACGTTATTCAGGAGAGGGAAGGCATTCACAAAGTGAGCGACGAGCACCAGACATGCCAGACACACGCCTTCCCCCATCCTGTGGTGCGGGTGCACCTCATTCACTTCACACTTGCCTTCGCTTGCCTAACAAATGCCTGTTATGCAGGCTAGTCCTCAAGATTCCACGACACATACCACTCATGCAAGCCAGACTAAAACTTCCACTTAGAAGAAAAGCTGAACAGTGTGTGTGTGCGTGAGTGACTGTTCTTACCTCCTCTTCTCTCAACTTAAGTTCTTCCATTTGGTCTTTCAGATCCTCAGCAAGTTTTTCACGTTCCCTGACAAAATATGAAGAGCAAAGTTTAATTCCTGTGCTCTATGCATGAACATACGCTGTCAGGGTTTTCATTAAGAATTCTAGTAGAAGGAGAAAGGTGTAATGTTATGGGAGAATATGGTGAAAGAGGCTCCTCATCTGAACAAAAAATAGTCACAGGCTACTGAACGTTAGATGGAGAATTTTTCATGGTAAACTGGGAATTCTCTGATCTCCGATGCCTAATGAACACCCCGCACTGTACAGTGTAGATGAAGTTGACAGAAAACTATGCAGCCATTTCTGCAAACACCTTCAAGATGTTAAATTTAATTTGGAAGATGCAAAAAAATTTGAGAACCATTTCAATCTTCCAGATGGTTCTAGTGATAACACTGCGTTCAGTAAGAAAAAGCGTAACACTGGATCAAGAGAGAATAATGGTACAGAGAGCAAAATGCCTAGTCTAGCCCTTGGGATAGGTGAATTTCACAAACGTTATTTTTAGACCAATTATTAAACACTTGAAATTTATCAATAGTTGGTTTCTGGAGAGGAGTGCAAACTTTTATTCAGTGTTGTCAAGAGGAATTCAACAGTTGCCATTAGAATATTCTGCGTTGTTTCCTTTGAGGCAGTTGCCTGTTGACTTGACGACATTTCAAACAAACCATTAAAATGTTCGGACGTCTCAGGAATTAGACTTCTGTTTAACCGCTTAGGTCCCAAGAGTGACCAACATCAATATTCTCCTAACAACATCAATACATCATCAAGAGTAAAGGTTTTGAGAATTACTAAATTGATTACCAAAGGGAGAACGCTTTGATCTTAAACCAAATTCTCTCAACTATTCTTAAAAGAAATGTATGGAGGTCAGTTTGGAGAATTTGCATGTGGATCTTGGGGCTTAAAGGGTTAATTCCAACCTCTAAACATAATTTAGGGAAATTCACATATCCTGGCCCTGAATTATTTCCAGTGCGTAGCCTGAATAATAAGGAAAATGATTTGGTTTTAGAATATCACTTCTTGGTACCTCTTCTTTGCTTCTTGTTTGGCCTGTTCTCTTTCCAGAGCCAGTAGTCTGTCTCTTTCCATTGCAGCATCCATCCTGCCAAGTAACACAGAAAACAGTTAGAGAGTTATACCTCCACTTCTGCGTTCAAAGAACTATACAGACATGAAATGCAGCTCAAGCATTTGATGCTGAGACTATGGAGAACTACAGTGAAAGCACTTTGGTGTTATTGAATTTGTTCTTTATAAACAAAATTTAAATTTGATATTTTTTTCACTGACTTATTACAGTTTTTACTGCAAGGAGTGCTCAGAATGAAGTGGCACTTTTTTTAGCAGTTTGAAACAAAAAGCATTTATAACATAGTACAAAATAATGTATTGTTACCATGATGCAATCTCTTGTGAATACTAACATTTGTTTAGCTTAAACGTACCTTCTGTCCTCATATCTTGCTGATTTCAGGTTCTACAATGGAGTCAAGTGATCAAATACAAAAAGAAAGCATTTCTAAGTTCATGTAGTGATTCTGAAAAGCTATAAACTAGTTATTTTAATGCTATGGCAAAAATGTTATGAAGGAAATAACTATAAAAAAAAAAAAAAAAAAAAAAAAAAAAAAACAACTGATAATAGCTAAAACAACAGTTTAATATAATCAGATAAAATCAAACCACAATCAAGTATTTCAGAACTATAATAAAAGAAATAATTAATCATCAAATCCCATAGTAAAATACTGCATGGCCGGGACTAGTAGCGATTATGAATAAAATTTTTTTAAACTAAACTTTCCCACTTTCCCTATTTATTTGTGATTTTAGGATATAAAAAAAAAAAAAATATATAAAAAAAAAAAAAAAAAATTTTATAATTTATTGTAATAATATAAAAAAAAAAAAAAATATTTTTTAAAAAACAAAAAAAAAAAAAATAAAAAAAAAAAAACAAAAAAAAAAAAAAAAAAAAAAAAAAAAAAACAGAACAGAACCAACAGATGGAAAAATATAAAGTTTTATTACTCTAATTTACCTCCTCTCTGTCACAAACTTGATCAGCCCAGCTGTTAACGACATGTTCCCTCAGTTGATCAGCTTCTATCTGTTAATCAAATGGCAAACAACAGACTTTTAAATAAACAACTCCTTTTGACCGTAAAGTATTGTCAGAGTAAATTGTTTTGCGAAAACACATGGGGGTTGGGTGAGAGGGGTGGTGGAGCCTGCAAACATGTATTGTAAAATTCCGAAAATAAGCTCCTCCAAATATAAGCCCCCCAAACCAGTAACGCAAAAACACCTTCTGTTAAATTGCCCCTCCAAATACTAAGCCCCCCGCCCCCAGGGCTTGTACTTGGAAAATTGCCCTCAAATACAAAGAAAACAAAGCAAAAACAGTAAATTTATTTCCAACTATAAGACTAGCCCAATTGATTTTGAAATGCAACTTGCCCTCCGTAGATAAGCCTCTCCGAATATAAGCCCCTCCAAAAATAAGCCCCTCAAAAATGGCCTTTGAAAAATCTAAGCCCCGGGGCTTATTTTCGGAATTTTACGGTATTTTTTTTAATGGCTATCCTGGTATACTGCCAGCTCCTGGTATACCCTCTCTATCTCCCACCTTCCTTAGAAAATGGTCTTCTTATTTTCGCTTGGCTAGTTTTCACGGCCTCCCTACTATCTGAGAGCCTGAAACAGATTATGTATTTCTGTACAAGTGCAGTCTAAGATTTAACATGGGAGACTTAACACTAAAAACATAAACAGAAGGTGACAAGTGCTAACTTAATAGTAGTCAAAAAGGGAGGAAGGGGTGGACCAGTTACCTATTAGGCAGATTTACTGGTAACAAATACATGTAACAAAAAAGTTGCTGGCAGATCTGAAACAGACCAATGACAGAGCAGCAAATTGCTCACTGAAAATTTCATTCAGTCCTTTCCGAATGCATTCACATTCCCATCTGTTGTTGCATAGTCTTTGCTACATCTTTTCTTCACTGGTAATTTTTTGTTTAGGACAATGAGCATGAAGAGAGAGAAGGAGTATTTTTGGCTTAGCCTTGCAGTTCACTAGGTTCACCTCTTGTGGTTAAACCCCTTTTCCAGAATAATACACTGGGCTTGCTCACGGGTTTAACAAGTCCATCACCCTAACAACGATGAGGTCATGCCATTCCCTGAGTGCCGACATGCATGTAGAATCAACTAGAGGCAATTAATAAAATTATTGAATGGCAAAAATATTGCCTACACTCTTATTCTAACCATTACTATATGAATAATAAATGAAATGATATTTGTGGAGAGAAGAACACAGAAAAAAATTCTGAGTTCTGGATGGGAATTGAACCCATGACCTTCCATACACTAGTCGGATGCTCTACTTATGGCTTGTTTACTAACCTCTCTGAGTTCAGGAGCATTTTGCTTCCAATGTTCATACAATTTTTGCTCAGCAATCTGCAAATAAACATATTTCACGGTAATGAAAGTGATGCCTGTGTTATTGAAAGTACAGTGTATATTTCTAGTAATGACCAGTAAAAGGGGTATTGCAAAGTTTCAGAGCAGTGTTAGTGTTTGAGAAGAGGAATCAATACAACAATCTGCAGTAGTACCTCTTTCCTTCTGGCTTCTTTTTCTGCTTTCAGTTCATCAGCTCTACAAAACAAAGAGTAAACAATCTACTTAGCTCTTTTATCTTATCAAACACAGTCTGGTTGCTTGTGACAATTGAAAATGCCAATTATCATCGAAACACTGTACCAATGTACTTCTCTAATAGAAGAGAGGAATTCTTTTGACTCTACAGTCATCTTTGTCAAAGTGGGCATTGCTTTTGAAATTGGAATGGTTGGTAACTGACAAATAAATTCACTAGAATTAATTGTCTTGATGCAGACAATTCTTTGGAAGGATTTTTTATATTTGATCCTGAGATCCTAGTAGTACATGTAGTAGTGGTAACTTAATTAAGCAAGGGTAATAGCATGTGACAGTTTTAACAACTGATGACCCAGTGTGTGACCTTTGCATCACAACATTCTTTAGAACTTACTGACAGCTACGAATTACTTCTGAAAAGTGTGAGGTACATGTAACCAAACCAAATATTACAAATATTAAAAAACTGACCTGTCTTTCATTTGTAACAACCTAGGTGTACCAGCACCAACAACTCTTTTGTTCTTAAGCTCTGCCTACAATGTACGTAAAGTTCTAACTTCAGATCACAAAAAATTTAGAATATGCATTATATTGGATAGTATAATTATGCTGCTGTTGCATTATAAGTACTACAGTGAACCTCTAAAATTTCTTTAACCCGCTTCGCCCCTGAACCGCCCACAATCACCCGTGCCTAGATCCATGTCCCTTCTGCTGCTTGTGATGTCATCATCTTTAACAGTGAAGGACAACTTTGTTACCTAATTTGTTCAAGGTGAAGAGATCTTTCAAGCCGCACCAGAATGAGCATGATTCAGACAAGAATGCCAAAGAAAAAAGGCAAAAAATCTTTCCCATTGAAATCAAGCCTACTAAATGCCCAGCAAAAGAAAAAAAAATGAGGCAAGAAAAGCAAAGGAAGTGGGGATTAGAGAAAGCGAAAAGAAAAAGTCAAGACTGCTGTGTCCCAAAATCTCGAAATTTTGCTTTCTGTGCATGCCCGAACTTCCAAAGCTAATACTTTGCAGCTGGATCAGAGCGCCGCGAAGAGTATGACCTGTAAACGACTTTGCAGTAAGTTTTAGCTCTTTTTAGCCAGACAGTGACCAGAAAACTGCTCAACTACATGTAACTTCAAAACACATTTTTCTGCAAAATTCCCAGGGCAAATGGGTTTAGGAGACAGAGTTAAGTGTTAGGCCCCAATTGAGCCATTAGAATAGGGCCTAAAACAGCTGTAAAAACAGCTGCTTTAAACAGTGAAGGAACATGATAAATAACAGTGGCTCTGTCTCTTTTAGTAACTGGGAACAGTAATGTTCCTCATTCAACAGGTGCCCAGTTGTTCAAAAGGTGGATAACACCATCCACAAGGCCCCGGTTGTTCAAAAGCTGGATAGCGCTATCCACAGGATAAATCACTACCCGGTGGATAAGTATTTGGAAACCAATTGCGTTATCCATTAGGTAGAGATTTATCCATCGGATACCGCTATCCAGCTTTTGAACAACTGTGACCAGATAAAACTCTATCCAGTGGATAGCACAATTGTTTATCCACTGGATAGTGATCATTTGTCCAATGGATAGCACTATCCAGCTTTTAAACAACTGGGGCCTGATATTGAAAGGAACACAACAACACAAGTCAAGGAAGACCAAGGTCCCAGCTGAGTATTGAGCACAGATGGACAAAATTCAAGAAGATTAAAACAGTTGTAATTGGGTTTTTTAAAGTTATTCATTCTGTCAGTTTTCAAAAGTTTATCCTGTTACTTGTCAATAAATATTTGTATGCTGTTATAAAATTATAGGGACACAATTTTTTCTTCATGAGGCTGTGATTTAATCATTTAGAAGCAAACATACAGTCTTTGCTAGCATAAAGTTGCACGCACAAAATTAATTCCTTACAATAACTTATCATTATTTGATATGCAACGTACCTCATATTCTTTTTTTTCCTTCAGTAACATTTCAGATAGTTTCTTCCTTCTTTTCTCTAATCTCTGTATTTTTTCTTCTTTTTCATTTTTTCTGAATAAATTATCCACTGCTTGCATACTGAAGAAAAATTTTATGGTAACTAAGTTAATTTTCATGAAAAGGAAAAAAAGGATATTCAACTACTAATAATAATTTATTGTAAGAAGCGTTTTATACATTTTGTACTGAGCCCGATTGGTGCCATGCAAATTTTGTCGTTGATTTTTCTTACTGCTATTTTTTTCTTGACTTTTTTTGTGCCCTTTGGTTTTTTTCCTGACTTTTTTCTCGACTATTTTTGTTGACATATTTTTGCGACTTTTTTCTCGGCTTTTCCTCAACATTTTTTCTGACTTTTTTTTCAATTAATTTTTTCCCAACTTTCCCCAATATTTTCCAACGTTGATCACATATATCAAAGGCTCATTCTTAAAAAATTTGCTTTGTAACTATTTTATTCATTGCTGAAAATGTGTTAGTGTTGTGCAGTTTAACTCCCCCCAGCAATAAATAATAAAAAAAAGCCAATTACGAATCAAACCTGGTCATGCTTAAGCACTTCAACTCAAGAATGAGCCTTTGATATATGTGATCAGCAGTGCAAAAACTCAGGAAAAAAGTCAAGGATAAAGTTGAGAAAAAATTTGGGAAGAAAGTCAAGAAAAAAATTGAGAAGCAATTTGAGAAAAAAGTTGGACAAAAAGTTGGGAAAAAGATGGTGAGAAAAAGGTTGTAATTGGCGAGAAAAAATTGAGAAAGGAATTTTCCAGCACGAAATTTGCATGGCACTAAATGAGTGGTAGTATCGAAAACGAATACCCATGCGAAAACCTCATCAATTTGTATCAAGTCTTGAAAAGACAATCGAACATGATGCTTTTCAAGTGGGTCTTCATTTTCGAGTAGGTTTTTGTTTTAGAGAGAGTCTTCATTTTCGAGGTGGTCTTTGTTTTGGAGGGGGTCTACAGTCTTTGGTCTTTGTTTTCGGGGTCTTCGTTTTCGATACGGGCTCTGTAGTTTTGCGTTTAGGTGTTTTAGAGTGATCTCAGCCAGTTTTCTTTTTGCTTTACACAGCAAGCAGTATAGAAAGTACATGAAGTCAATGTGTGTTAAATAACAAAGGGAGAGGTGCCTGAAAGGTTTGTGGAGCATACATGAAGAACTGCAGCCAGGAGCAATGCATAACCATGACAACCCTGTGAGTGGCATTCACCCAGGCACTGTCAAAATGCTAACCATTTAGCCACACATGACATTGTAGCAGGGTATACTATAGTAAAGCCCTTGGGTTATTGAGAACAATCTGTTCCCCAATAGTGTCACTGTCTGACTCCGAAAAATTCAACATTAAGTTCTGTTTCGGGCAGCCCCATAAATTTATTACGTAGGCATTTTGTTGCAGTTCGTGTTTTTAGTATCTGCTTGTTGGTAACCGGTCAAGTCGCCTGAAAGTCATCTTGCCTGAAGTCATATTGCCCGGAACCAGAGTCATGTTGCCCGAAATACATAGTCATGTCGCCCACAATTTTATCGGCCCGCAATTTTATCGAGTATATAAACTTGAAGAAGAGTAACATATTAAGTAAATCACATGGAATAAACTCGTAAAATGTTGACTCGCTAACCTATGCAAATATGAAGTTAAACAAAGACTCCAATATCGCTGTTCATTTCAGCGTTGTTCGTTGTTTGTTGCTATTAACTAAGCTGCTCATTCTACAATAAAGATCCTAGTAATTATAAGCGGAACACTTTCAGTTATCAGAATTTTTCACACATATCAGAAAAATACATCAAGTTCAACAAAGCATGTTAGCATCATTCCCCTTGGGATCAGACGCGGTATAAATTATCGCGACTTGTTCAGTTGTTCCTTGTTTCCTCAGCCGGTCGCATATAAATTTTGATCCGGTTAACCATATATAATTTTGTGTTTTATTTTAGGTTTACTATCTCCATAAAAACAACAGCGAAACGAACAACCTGAGTTTCACAGTTTCACATTTCACTCTGACTAGCATTTTTAGAATCTTTTTGAGCATTATGAAATTTCGGGCCACATGACTCAAAATATCGGGCGACATGGCTATAAATTTCCGGCGACATGACTTCGGGCGAGATGACTTTCGGGCGAAATGACCGTAATTCTGCTTGTTTATCAATAAGCACATAAAATTAAGTATTAGTTGTACACACAAAATGCAAGTAATATAATGCATCTAGTTATAGGGGGAGTTGTGTTGAAATCAAACCGTCCAGTGCACATACAAACAGTTAAATCCATTTAACACTATTATTACGGCTTAAAAAGCTAAGTTTAGAAGTTAGTTTTATGTCCAGTAAAATTAAGATAACTTTGATATTGCATATAAGTTTACAGTATGCATGGCAAAAACGTAAGATGCCAATAAAAGTTTAGATAATATAAACCTTTACCTAAACAGCAAGATAGGGATTTTATTTGACAACAAAAAAACCGAGAATGTGATATAACCAAAATAGATTTCAACAAAACAAATCAAGTTATTTTGAAGCAGCAGATTTTCTTACCTTTCTTCGTATGAGTCTCTCGATCCCCAAACCCTTTGCTTCGCAGTTTCCACATTAGATCTGTCGAAATATCTGGCATTTTTATCCCAGGCTTCCCTTCTATCCGCTTCAAATTGATTTCTTCTAACTAAAAGACCTTCATTTCTGTTTTTGTAATTTTTCAACCAGTACGGCTGTAACGTTGGAAGCGCCATTTTGTTTGGAATTTCTACATCAGAACGAGGCAGTAAACTTATTTAAATTTATGCAATCGAGGCAATACGTCGTTGAAAATAAAACAATAAATTTTCCACGAATTAGATAACAGCCGAGATAGCTCAGTTGGGAGAGCGTCAGACTGAAGATCTGAAGGTCCCTGGTTCAAATCCGGAGAGCCCGCATGGGCTCTGAATAATCCCGGGTCTCGGCAATGTTTTTTCTTTTTTCAATAAATTCTTTCACGTCTTGACATATTCCGAGAGAAAAACAAAATGTATTATTAAAGCCGTATTTGGCAAAGTGGGCACTCTGTAATACCATGATTTTGATACCGAGCCCCATTTAGTTTGGAGATTTACTGAACTCGACAAAACAATCAACAGAATGCACGAACACTATTACACAAAACGAGGGCGGGTCGAACGACTTCACCGAGATCCGGGAGAGTCTGGACACAATGTAGCGTCCGCTGAAAGCAACCAATAACGTGGTACTGCAGACGGTGGTACAGTTGAAAAGTAGTTCTAATTAATTAACAAGTGTATTCCTTCAATTCTGTTAAAAATATTTTTAATGTACACCTTGCTGGGATTTTATTACATACCGGCCATCTCGTTTACTAGTTTTACAAAATACTGAAGTCGATCCCTTTTGATTCTGTTAAACTATACAAATCTTTTATATACAATTATGTAGGTTCTCTTCTTATACCTTGCTGGGATCTTTTTACTCGTTCCTTTTACAGTGTAATATATATTTTTAATTCTGAGCAGTATACTGCGGGCGGAGGAAGGGGAATATTTTTTAGCTAAATAGTTTCTTTGTATGTTAATAATGTTTCGCTTAGCATGGGTAGATATTATTAGCCTTCGTCTTCCCTTGAGCTCTCCTGGCTTCCCCGTCACTTTCCACTTTATAAGGGAAAAATACCTGCAATTACACTGTTGCCTCAACTGGAAAAACGCATTGACTACATTATACTCTGGCGTCTTTACGATAATTCAGACCTCAAAATATAGCTTGCACTGTTCAGTCTGTTTCATCAGCTCACCACGACGACCTGGACTAAGCAAGCTAAACCAGGAGTCCATTACTGGATCCCTTAAACATAAGGGCACTTTGATCTCACTAGACATGATAAATGATCCTTCTGTCCAATGTTTCACGTTTTTGATTTGTCTCGTAGATCCTTATAGGCGTGTGGAGGGATGTCATCATCTTCATCATCTTCATGTAGTTTCTCCTTGGAAGCATGCAGAGCATGTCGCCGACTAGGCCTAGGTGTGGTTAGTGCTGAGGAGCCACGCCTCCCCGAGCTTGGCTTGTCCAAGGGCGACCCATCTTTGATGGCATCTACTGGACTTAGTCCCCTCACGGTGTTGAAACAGAAGCAAAATACGATGCAACATAATAAAGCGAATAGATGAAGAAAACCGATTGCAAGACCTACTCCCCCTACAACCTTCATTCTATTGTCATATGAATAATTAAGACCGGCAAGTTCGCTGCATCCTAGAATGTTTATGACGTCAATAGGGTTTTTAGTGTTCATATCGTGACCGCAATTTGGTGACGGAAATTTACAGCACGATGTGGGAACCCGATTGTTCACGCCCTGAAAAGATAAATTAAAGATCATGGGTGAGTGAAAAGTTTTTATCACAATTCAAAAGACGGAAGTAAACCTTTCTGCCAGTCTAACCTACAAGAAGTACTCAGAGACAACTACATTTCGCTGGCCTTTTTTTCAAAAGAGCTAACAGCGATGCGTAAATCATTAGGAAATCACCATTGCCTAGTTGCATGTTCGTCATTTTGTGATTTCGTTTTTGCAGAATTTAGTTATTGAGGACGATTGAATGAATTTCCTTGTCATGTTCCTGTGTTTACAGTCGACTCTCTCTTAACGGACACCTCTCTAAAACGGACACCTAGAGTTGATCCCTGCCTTTCTTTACTTCTTTTATTTGACTCTTTATAAGACGGAAATCTCTCTAAGATGGACACTTAGTACCGGCCCCAAAGGTGTCCGTCTTAGAAAGAGTTGACTGTACAGTCAAGACCCGCTTTACCGTCACCCGCGCTTAATACGGACACGGCTGCATCGTTACGGAAAGTTTGCTTTGTCTCTGGGGAAAGAAAGCTCTTACATTTTCTCCAAATTCAACCCGCTTAATACGGGCACTTTCTAGGGCCCCCTCAATTTCCGTATTAACCGGGGTTTGACTGTATTTCGTTTTCAATACAGTAAAACCCCGTTAATACGGACATTGAAGGGGCCATAGAAAGTGTCTGTATTAAGCGGGTTGAATTTAGAGATTATGTAAGGGTTTTCTTACCTCAGGGACAAAGGAGTCCTTATTAAGCGGCTTTCCGTAAACCGGGGTCGAACAACCAAACCACTAACCTTTGACAGTACTCATTCTGGACTGCAACCGTTTTTTGGGTACAAAAAGGTGTCTTATCAACTGCGTGAATTAAGTCATCATTTACCCTCGTAAAAAGATTAACTAGCCTGTCAACAAACGCCGCCCCCCCCGCCCCCAGGGAAAATCTGGGAGAGGGGAGGGGACGTCTGTACACAGGCTATACCCCACCGTCTCAACAGCACAGTAGTTTTACTTTTTTAAATTAACTGACTCCTTCGTTTATTTTAAAAGCACACAGCAACACAAAAAACAGAAACCTCGTTCCTGGGAACGAGGTTGATGAATAGACTGGGCAACAAACCTGTGCTGCGTCCCATTTTGAAGTGAACCAATCACGATAATCAGTTAGTCCACAGCACGCATAAGTCCGCTGGATTCGATCGAAGGCTTCTGTGATTTTCTTGTCCATTCCATAAGCCGCCATCATCTGCATTCCATTGCTAAATTTGTCTTCATTTAAATTAATCTCACTTGTCAAGGTGAAATAAATAATTGCTACTATAAATTCAACCAGGAATAGTATTATCAGCAAAACCGCAAACACTGTTAAAAGTCGATTGTTTTCCTTCGTCACAGCATAGAAGCATAGTGCTGTTATAATCAGGATAAGGAGTAAGAAAATGATTCTTATTACGTAGCTGATTGGAAAGGCAGCCCCTTTCAATGTGAGGTAGTCTCCAAATGGCGTGGGTACTGTAACAGCAAAGATTATCAACGATAGACCAGTGAGTAAATAAAGAGTTAGAAATCCCATGATTGACCATTTCACAATATCTTTCGCCTCCATGTTATTCAGTATTGCAAGCCCAAGATATCTAAAGTGTAGTGAAAAACAAACAAACAAACACGAGTATTAGCTGAAGACATTCAACACAACCATAAACTCGTCTCGCTGATAACAATTACCTCTCGCCACAAATGCGTGTTACAAAATCGGTTGTACCAAGATTCACTGTGTGGAAAGCAGGCGTTCGAAACGGAAAACGGAAATATGGCGCTTGAGAGAAGGGCGCGCGAAATGGGAGGATGGACTCCTTTCCTTCACATTCGAGTGCCCTCGTATTCAAATTCCGACCATCTACCAAGCAGGCTCAAGAAGAGTACAACGAATTGAAGGGACTGTCTTAAAAGTGTCTGCCTTCAGAGGTGCCTTTCGTTGGATGGTGGTCAAAGTTTTCTTGCCACTGCGCTGACTTCACAGACGACCTTCATCTTTAAAGTTTGAGTATGCTTTAGGAGAAGTCGGTTCAAGTTCGTAAACCGGTATTGGTTTCAAACATTTTCTCTTTACAGAACGATGGAGTAGAAGTTTTATTGATGGGAATGAAGCATTAGATAGGTGTTTGCCTGGATCCAGCCAGAGTGTAAGATCCTTGGAAATGCCCACCTACCCCTCCCCTAAACCAACGTTAACGTTAACTTCTTACTCGCTTACTTAGGGCAAAATGTTGGTTAGTGGCAGTAACTACTAACCAACCATATTACAGACAACCGTTCCGGCAACTGTTATCAGTTGTGGTGTGAACAAGTGACAAACGACGTTTCTCAACAATCATAAAATGGCTACAGTAAACACTTCACGCGAACGAACACCTGTGGATTTGTCTTTCTTGTTCTCTAGTGTTGAATAATTCCTTGCCGCCCTCAAAATGGCTTCAAATGTGGAATTAAGTCTGGTCTTCGACGGCAACTACAGTGTAGATTTATAAGAAGAAACGTTCTCTCTAATCAAATCTTTTTATCTAACTAAAGTAAACGGGTGGGTGATGTTCATTGATCGTTGGCCAATGAAGGAAAGTCTTATTTGTCAAGACGTAGCTTGCCTAGCGATTTCTTACCTTTATTTATGGCGGATTTATTGACAGCATCTTTTCATCTTCAGCAGAGTCTCGTCGTCGTCAGGGCCAAAAAACAAAATACCACTTTCCCGCCCATTACCTTTCGTTTTCATTCAAAAAACTTAAAACGCGCCGTACGAGACTATCCTTGTTGAAGTAAGTCGGTTATGTTTTCAACTTGCTATACATTTTTCACTCTTCATTCAATTTTAATGAAATCTGGAAGTTTCCTACCAGTTTCTTAAAGCGTCGTGTTTACTCAAGCGTTAGAAAACAAAACAAGCTAAGAGTTTTAAACACAGTTAGTTAAGAGAACCGTTAATGATATTGTTAGTATTGTTTATTAATAGCCGTCAAAAGAAAACAGGTGCCGGTAATCTCGTTAATAAGAAGCTGAAAAACTTCAAGCGCTTTTTTAATCTCACAAGGTCGAAATAATATTGTACAACATGAGAGACTTTTCTATATTTCGTCAAGAAATATTATGTCACATAATTTCAAGGATATAGATCGACATTATTTCTTAAACATATTGATGGAAGCTGTTGGCAAGAGCAATGGGGATGGGCAAATCACAATGCTTGAGAGAAGTCGCAAAACTCCTTTATCACAAAACTCTTTCTCCTTTCCTAACTGAAAAGGTTGAAACTAACCGCGTGATAAAAAAATTTCTCAGGAATTTAATTCTTATTGTTTAATAATCTGCTTGTCTACTGTTTGCTATTTTCAGCAAGACGAAAGGGTTATATCATGAGCTGAAGTTTCTTAATTTAAACGTAGTGGGTGTAACAACTGCACTCAGGTACTGTAAATTCATACTTGAGCTGCTTGACGAGTTTTCGGCAGTTTAAGTTTATAATATCAAGAACAAATTTCTGAGAATTATTTACAGCTCACCTGTTTCTTCAAGCTCGAAAAATCCGTTCCAAAAACTGAACAACGGGCCTCCCGCCACGGGGAAATTGTCAATTGTCAATTGAAAGTGTCAATTTAATAGCGTGCACAAGCGTGACGAACTGACACATGAATTATGGTAAAAATTAATCAAAGTAAAAATAATTTTTAAAGATCCTGTACAGAAAAACTAACTAAAAGGAGATTTAGAATCACGTTTACAGAAAACGGCAAACGTCAATTTGTACCATGTGGCCAAGTTTCCCTTTTTTTTTTCGTTTTATGTTTATTGTGTCCAAACTAAAAGTTTCATGCCGGTTTCATCTATAATAATGTTTTTGACAGTTTTTATGTGATCATTTTCTAATTTGAGGAGTGGCCAACCTGAATCTAACGATTACCGTTAGCCGTGAACGTGAATCTAAATCTCTCTATCATAATCCCTGCACGCAACCTTTTGCCTCCAGCATTTAATCAATGTGAAAATATGGGAGTTATTCACGACTTATTTTATCACGTTCCAACAGAAAATGTAGTAAACACAAAGAGAAGGAAATCTTATTAACTGATCAGTTTATTGGAACTGGGGAGGTATAGTATGACCAGATGGAATGGGCAAGTTTTTAGTGGCCTGTATGCAGGGCGGTGTCACAGTGATATGGGCATCCCAATTCCCAAAACCCTATTGATATGGGCATCCCCTTCTCATATTACCTTAGCGATTTGGGTTAGGGTTAGGGTTACAGGGGATGCCCATATCACTAGGGTTTTGGGAATGAGGACGCCCATATCACTGTGACAGCGGCGCAAAAGGAAAGGGAAAGGGGTGGAGGGGGAATAGGAACGAGTGCTTAGCATAGCGCACTTGTAATCCACCCATGACGAGTGCGGTGTGCAAGTCCCGCTTTGACAATTAACTGGTGTCGTTTCACACTTGTCTAGACTTCAATACTTCGAACAATTGATTCGCCTCTTTTTTTGCTTCGCTCGAACAGACTTGTTTCTGATATTGGCCCTGGAGCAATCGGCTTTTGCTTTGACTGGCCCCAATATACTTCGAGCCGAGTGCTAGGGCCAGTACTGAAAACCGCAGTAGATTCCTTTTCTTGCCCGACTTCATTTGTAATAGCAGTAGTAGGGACAAAGTTATAGGTAAATCAACTTGCATCCAAATGGTTATTGAAGGTGCATCTAAATTCGACTACAAGACGTGCAAATTACTTTTTGACCTCAGTTTAGATGCGATTTATCCCCTCGTTTCGCCGTGTCACGTGTTCTGCGGTAACAATTTAAGGTGCCATCAAAAAGAGAGCCTTTTGCGTTTAAGACCAAAGGCCTGAAACGCTCAATTCATCACAAGCCACAAGAGGAAAGTCATCTTTTTAAAACACATATTGAAAAAGGCTTATTGCATGTCACTCAAGAAGGTTTATTACGGTGTGTTTGCAGAGGGCAAGTGTTTGAATGATATTAAATATATTAACATCGTTGATTGAGATAGCGTGTAGAGAGAAGATGAGAAGGTGTCTCTATTCTAACCATGTTACTCACTTTATAGTAGGGGTTATTCGCATTAATTTCATTCTCATCGGTAAAAAAAAATAAAACAGTTATCAAGTCTTTGTGTGTAGAGACTCTAATTGCGCGTTTTCGTGCATTTCTGTACAATTATTCTCTATTCCAAGCTGACCCCAGCAGCGAAAATAAATCCCCAGCTTCGGCGTTTATAATTTCAAGAGTAGTACCAGAGTGGAGCTGAATTCTCTTTTGGGCAACTCCTATCACGGCCAAAACGCTGGGCAGCCCGGAAACAAGGAGCTGTTTTGCCTCGTACCCAGACTCCCATATTGTAAAGTTAGCCGTTGTGCCGTTTCCTGCCAGCTAAGTCGGTGTCAAGTTTAATGGAGATTCATGGGTTCTCCTGTGAGCTAGGACCCGTTGGGTCAAGGCGGGTTAACCGATGCGGTCTACTTCAGAGACTATTCGGCATTCCGGCTTAGTAGTGCGCGAACGGATTCGTGCAAAAGTCGGACCGATCAACATGGCATATTCCAACATGACTGCCACAGCTCATGCATCCTTATACGTCCGTCTCGTCATTGCAATCACTTGATTCACTGATCTTTCTCATGAGTGTCGAGGGTAATAACGTGAATTGCATTCCCGATGGCAGTGGTAGACCAACTTCCAGGTGAAGTGCAAGCGATTCTAGCCATTTCTCCGTCTCCCAAAACTCTGGTCTGTTTAATAAACAGAATGAATTATCAGCTCAGTGAAACCTCAGTGAACCGCCTTACAGCGAAGAGGCTCAAAGTCAAATTTAAAGGAAAAACCAAAATTTCGTTTTGCAAAATACTGATAAACAAACGAACTGCAATTAAGACAAAGCGGACGAGGCGTTACCTTTTATCGGGGTCCACGTTACAACAGAGAAAAGCTATCTTGTAAAACAGCACCGGGCAGCTCTCACAAAACTCTTGGTAGAATTTCTTCTCATCCAATCCGAAATCCTGACAACAGAAGAGAAATGAGAAAACATTATGTTACAGCAACAATATATGAAAGTGAATCTCTATCGAGTGTTAAATGTTGAAGTCACAATGCGCGCTGCATCAAGTTGTTATTACATCGTACCCTATCATTAGTTTGCCTCAGTTTCTTTTTCGGTCATATGTTATTCATTTCGCTTGGATATTCAGACCTTCAACTTTTTTCTTGTACTTCGTTCCACTGCCTTACTTGAGGAAAACGTTTTGACCAGGAGCCGATTACTGGTTTTGACATATTTTTTTAGCAATTTTTAAAGAATGTTCTTTAGTGACTTTTCGCATCTGGAGAACACATCCTAGTCTCGCCCCTATGTTAGTATTTTGCAAATACACCGCTAACTCATGTTTTAAGGATACAGCTCATCAGACGAATTAGAGCCTGATCTCGGGTAACGACGAAAAGTTTTCAGTTTCTGGAACTCTAATTCTCGAAAAGCCAGAAAACAAACTGCGTTTGCGTTTGTTCATACAGCGGTACCTTGGTGCGCTCTGCATGTTTACAAATCAAAATACCAGACCTACCTTCGTACGAGGCATGTAGTCCGGATCAGCCTTCACGCGTCCGATAATCTGCAAAGAGACAACTAGGTGTTATTACTGTGGTATTACATAGACAACGGCAGTGAAAACGTCCTCGCGCCAAGCAAGGCCTTTTTAGGCTTACTCAATTTGTAACAAGTAGGCGAATTTTCCAGGAGTCGAATTCTTAAGCTCTGTATCGAAGTATAAAAAAAATGGAAATTCGTCGTAGTGTGTTCAACGCTTCGCATTAAAAAGTTTCACCTTGTAGTCGTGCAGTGGACGTTGAAGAAATTTACCAGAAAGTGTGATGCACGTGCAGAGCTGTTGTTTTACTCATAAACAAATTTTTGTTCTTGTTGTCATCGTTGTCATCTTCGTGGATGCTTAAGTTCCCTGGTAGCTGTAACACTGTTTACACTAAACCCTTTTGCCAGTTGTTTAAACGTCGTTTAGCCAGTGTTTAACAAAACCGCGTTCTAAGCCATTTTCAATTTGCCCAACGTTATAATCTAAACACCATTTATTGTCAACAGTTTTATGAAAGTATTATAGAGCAGACGAGAAAAGCATTTATCGTCTTAAAATAACCCACTAAGGAAGAGATCTGGGGGTTCAAAGATTTGTTAAACCGCGGCTTAAGTTCCATTTCGGTTAAATAACCGGCCCTTTAGGTCTCAAAGGTGACCAACATCAATTTTCTCGTAACAATATAACAACAAAATCAAGAGAAAAGGTTAGGAGAACTGATAAAACGATCCCAAAAGAAAAAGGCTTTGATCTTTGATCAACTTCTCTCTACCTTTTCTGTAAGAACTGTATAGAGACCAGTTTGGAGAATTTGTACGTGGACATTGGGGGGCTTAAAGGATTAACAAGAACAGAAACACTGTCACAGTGTTCAACTTGTTAATTGTACACCAAAAAAATATATGTACCTAAAAAAAGAATGAAAACTTTACCTCGCACATTGTAATTCCAAACGAGAACACGTCGACTTTCTCGTTATAGGTCAATCCTAAAATTCAAAGGATAAACAAACACAAAACAATTAGCGTGGACATTCTGGATTTTGCGTTTTAAATGTCTCGCACAATTCCATAAGGGATCTACTGCTGTGCGTAAAATAAGTCAGGGTTGGATGTTCCATGCAGCAAAACTAGTAACAACACAACTGTTGAGTACGGTACGCCAAGCACTCGAGTAACCACTCGGCAATTAATTATCAAAGACGAGATCTGAATAGAAATACACATTGACCAACAGATATAAAAAACCATACCCCTCAACATCTCTGGAGCCATCCAATACGGGTTTCCAACAACTGTATATCTGTCAAAATATTTCGTTACTCAATTAGTATTAGCCCAATAGGCTTCCTTAAAACTTAAAGCACAGACAAAATCATCCCTAAGAAGCTTCTTCAAACTACATATAAGCTACCATAAGCGCTCTCTGAGAGGGCCTTTCGTGACATACCCATGAATGACTTATCTTCTCGAAAGGATCAAAATTAATTGCCACTCTAGTAAGCGACCACTCCTCCCCCCCCACCCCTCCCCACCCCCTTTTCTCAAGACACCTGCAATCCTCGCCAAAAATCCTTGAAACACCCCTTTCCCCTGTGCAACGTTGAGATGACATTTCACTGTTTCACTGGCTAACACAACATTGCAAAAGGGAGGGGGACGGAAGTGGTGCGAGAATGTTCAAAGTGTTTCAAGGTTTGTGTCTAAGATTGTGCGTATAAGGAACACACATCACCGCTAATTAGACGCCAACAAAAGGAAAAACAATCGCTTTGACGAAGCTCAGGTAACTTTGATTTCAAGGCCAGTATCACTGCAAGTTGTGCAACTATTTTTTGTTTGAAAGCCGGGTTTGCAGATTATCGTTATGCTCGCCAAAAAAAGAGATCATCCACAAGCTTTAAAGAAGAACAAAATGGTCGTCACAACGATCGACAGTTTCTCTATAGTCGTTGACGAATTGTTTCCACTTAATGGCTCCATTTTATTTCTGTTTCTCATAGCGATCACAAGAAACCACCCTTCAAAATGCTTTAAAACACATTCTAGTAAGATAACCTGAGATCAGGCACAAATTTTAGCAGCTTCCATACATTCTATTTTCTTTTCGCCCTTCCCGCCACAATTTTATTTTACCAAGCGAAACGAAAACCCGTAATTCTTTCCCCAACTTCTGATTTTATTCTGATTTTCCATTTTTTTACTGATTATCTAATCATGCAGATATTTGCGAATTGTAACAGTTACCTCTTTTTCGGTGGAGGCGGTTTATTTCCTGGAACCGGAAGTAACCTGCGTCCAACCGAAGGTGGTAATGTTGATGAAATGAGGTTGTTAGGCGAGCCTGGACTGTCCCTTACCACACGAGCCAAACCAAAATCTGCCACGACAACCGACATTTCTCCTGAATCCTACATAACAAAAGAGCAAACGAAGAAGTTTTATGGACTAAAAAGGACCCTTGGAATCAAGATTGAAAAAAAGCACAAACTGATAAGGCTTGTTACCTTGTCTGTTGCGAGCAGGCAGTTCTTAGAGTTAAGATCTCTGTGCATTACATTCATTGAGTGAAGGTATGCCTGGAAAAATCATAGCAATGATTGCTTAAAAAATTGTTATTTAAACCTATGCCGAAAAATTAAATCTTACTTGAACAAATAAAAACGAGTAACAATATTAGGTTTGAAGTCAGGCTTTTGGTGCCGACATGACTAAGCTATCCGGGACAGTATGAACGGCAACTGAGGCACAGAACTGGAACAAGTCGTTTACATACATCCAACAATAGCTTAAGCAACGATGGCCACCGCAACTTAGCCGTCGTTGCACGACTACGACTAGACTTGCCTACAAGTCAAGTTCAAATTTTTTCACGAGCGCGAAGCGCAAGCGGTAGACTTTTTATGTTTTCTGTGGCAGATGCGAACGAGAGTGAGGCCAGCTACCGCACCCAGAAATGAGAAGCAAAGGACTTTGAGAAAGTCTAGACTATGACGTGAAAGTGCCTAATTTCATGTTTTGTCGAGGACGGGAACACAAGACAACGACTTTCTTTTTCTTTTCCTGAACTTTGATACAGTCCTTTAGAATTCAACTCCAAATAAATTTGCCAACATTTGAAGAATTAAACGAAATGGAATAAGCGCGATTAAGTTTGAGGCAGCGTGAAGTCACTTTATAAGTGACGTTTTAGTAGTCATAGTCGTCGTAGTTGCTTAAGCTCCCTAATGCATCGGAGAGGGAGGCAGCATGGCTGAGTGGTTGGAGTGGTGGACTTGTAATTCGGAGGCCCCGACCTGACCTCTAACTGGATTTGTTCTTGGTAGTCCCGAGTTCAAATCCTCAGCCACGCTTAGCCAACTGCTTCGCCTTTTATTATTTGGGATTTTCAACGATGTTATATCCCATTTACATTATTTGTTTCATTATCCCTAAAAAGCCTCATAAGGGAAGAGGATAATTAAAGTATTAGGGCTCCACTCCTCGCTTCTACTCTTTTACTTCCGGTATGATCCGAATACCTGTAAGGTGTTCACACTACGACAAAAAGTGGCACAGAACCTATCCAATATGTGACAATCCACTTTACGATCGACGCGGTGTAGCTTGGCTCCATTATAGAAACCGAGCCGAAATCACTGTTCTTATGTGTAAACAGAAGCTCTATCCGGTTTGGTTTTCGTGCCGGTGCAAAAGTTATCTGGTACAATGTGAACGCATCATAAGAATGAAAGGAGGATTAAACTGCAAACTATATCTCCTCACCATTCCAGCTGCAATGTCTCTTGCAAACTTTATTCTCTGTAACCAAGATAACTCTTTACCCTGCACAAAAAATACAACAAAAATAAAATTAGACTACGAGTAGTCCCCCATTTTTCCTCAGGGATAGTAGAGCAAGCGAAACGCGAGCACGCGTGAAAATCACCCCACGCGAGAAACGGCGAAAAATGGGGTACTACTCGTAGTCTAAAATAAAATTAAATTTGAACTCCTTTAGCTTGTCTTGCGATAGGGTAGGATCCCAGTTTCTTGTACTCTCGGTTTCGTAAGAGTATTGTGTTTTTCCCCGTGAAAAGTTTGTTTATCTTGCTCGTATCTGTTATCTCACCTTATTCTTCAAGATTTGCCGCAGCGTCCCTCCTGAGATATACTCTGCACAGAAAGAAATTTCAAGATTCATTAACCTGGAGACATTACAAAATACTGAAAGAACACAATTCATTAATATTACACAACGCAGATAAAAAAGAAATGAAGGTTTGTAAATTCTGACCCAGGGTGTCAACTGCATCACTTAGATCTTAAAATCATCAATACTACCCTTTGGCCCCGTTTATATGGAGAAAACTTGTCCCAGGTAGAAATCTACCCTTGGCGAGCCAGCATTTCCTAAATCCCTTATTGGACTTAGCAAATCGTTTACATGAGAAACAAAAAATTGGCTTGGCTAGAAAGGTGACCTGCCTAGCTGGGCCACCCACCCGGTTGGGTCGCCCACCCAGCCAGGTCACTTACCCAGCTGGGTCACCCATCCAGCCAGGTTATCCACCTAGCTAGGTTACCCACCCAGACGGGCCAACGTTTTCCATATAACACTTTAACTAGCCCAGCCGGGTCTACTCGGTCATGGCGATTATCACTTATCAAGAAGTACTGTATAAAGGTTACCACAACTCAAGCTTGATTCTCTGGTACAGTTGTACATGTAGACAAGGGTTTTTTCAGTAAGTGACTTTAAACAGTCTCAGAATCAGACAACCATAACTCACCAGTAATTAAGTTAAGTATCTTGTCTCTGTATAATATTCCAATGAATCTCAACACATTAGGGTGATCCAAGCTTTTTAGTAATGCTACCTGGAAACATGATTCAGTGTCAGTGTTAAGGTTAAATTTCAATGTACAAATTTAGTCTTAATCCTGTAAACGATTCTTAAGGGAGATTTTAAATCTAGAATGGCCAATCTGTTTTAAAACTTGCTGTTTATTATTACCTCTTTCAAGAAACCTGAGCTGGTTTCCTCATCATAACGCAGAATTTCCTTTAAAACCATCACCTCTCCTGTCTCTTTATGAGTTACCTGAGAAAAAGAAAAAAAAATGTTTCTTTCACTACACTCCAACAAAACTACCAGCTATGCATGCTAGAAAATAAATAAATTAATAAATATATTGCTTAATAAAGCCAAGACTCAAAGTTTTCCTAGGCTCTGTCACTAATTTCCACCTACTTCCTAGCTTAACAGTTTGGCAAGGCTGTTAAACTAATAACTAGAAAAAAAAAAAGGGTTGGTAACAGGGTTGGTAACAAGCCCAATGCATTGTTAGTACGGTACCTTTCTGACTTGTCCAAAAAATCCTCTTCCAAGCACTTCTCCTATGATTAGATCACATGGTCTGAACACTCTAAATAGGACATTGAATAAAAAAAGTTTGCCTCTATATAAAACAGAAGTAACAGATAAATAGACTATGTAAACATTTTTTCAGTACTAGCCTGCGTAGCTGGCAGGATTAGCGGGTGAGTGTTGTAGTTTTTGGCAGCAGAGCCGCATGAAGATTGGGAACTAGGCAAATCACTTGCAAAAATCCCTCATGGCATCGCCACTCAATTCGCGTGGTGGCTCTGCTGCCAAGAAATTACCCCGCACACAACAATCCTACCAACTATGCAGGCTATTTCAGGACCAAATTTTTTGTCCCCTAAATGGAGGTGTCCCTTGAATAGAGAAATCTCAAAAGAAAGGTTGCTCTCTACATGGATTTTAAATGGACTTTCATACCTGTCTGTAACAGGCTCCACCTTGAAGGACTGTGCTCGATGGATCAATGACCGTGTTTTCAGGGTCTCGGAGCAGGAATTACTATATAACCAAATCAAAACAACCAAATATCAGTAATGTTACCTTTCAATAATCCATTTTGTTGCAGCTACATTATTATCATGGTATTAATCAACACAATATAGAAATGCATGCAAACACAAAATGATGCAAAAACTAATGACACATTCCTTTGTATTTTCATGTGGAATACATCTTCTCAGTTTACGTTTATAACCCAACAGAACCATTTCATGTTTATGATTAACATACATGTAATGGTTAACTGTTGATCAATATTTTTTCAACACCCATCTACATCTACTCTATATGGGCCAAGAAAATTAAAATGCCACATCTTTAAGGCCTGTTTGCCAAGGTGGTAGAACAAAGAATTAAGCTATAAAACAATTTTTGGCAAAAAAAGCAATGATTTTGCAGTTCTGGGAAAATTGGGGTTAATATTTGACTGCTTCACCTATGAAAGGCTCAACAGCCACATGTCACACCTAAACACTGTTCACCTCAACATTATCTGTCTACTAAGCAACCAGTTTTAGTATATTGTATAATACAACATAAACATAAAAATACTTTTCCTTCTGACTTCAGGCAGTTATTAAAACATCATGACTTGATTGCTTATCCTTATTTTAAAGTGTTTTTCAAAGTTTCTCTAATCAACAAGGAAGCTGAATTCACTAAGTCACCTTAAGGTAAAATGCACCTCAACTATGTTGTCTCAAAAACAATGACCAAGTATATATTGTTATATATGAAACAATACTTAAGAGATAACTCGCTCATCCAACAGGCTGCAACATCACAAGCCATTTGTTGAGCAAAACATGTTGCAATAAGTGTCGATGACTTTCCTTTCATTTCATTTATTTGTTTTACAGTTACTCACATTACATAAAAATAAAATGTTACAAGAGGCATTAATTAAAAATTAAGTTGTTGTGAAAAGAAAGCCTAAAGAAGCTGCAGGAAACTTATATTAATAGGCTTCCTTAGAGCGGTTTTCATTTGAGTGTCGAAAAGTAATTGGTTTTGCACTTTCTACACGATGCGATTGGCTTAAAAGATTCGCGCCACCTTTTCATCCAATCAGAAGTAAAACCAAAGCAGTATAATACAACATAAACATAAAAATACTTTTCCTTCTGACTTCAGGCAGTTATTAAAACATCATGACTTGATTGCTTATCCTTATTTTAAAGTGTTTTTCAAAGTTTCTCTAATCAACAGGGAATCTGAATTCACTAAGTCATCTTAAGGTAAAATGTACCTCAACTATGTTGTCTCAAACAAAGACCAAGTATATATTGTTATATGAAACAATACTTAAGAGATAACTCGCTCATCCAACAGGCTGCAACATCACAAGCCATTTGCTGAGCAAAACATGTTGTCACAATGAGTGTCAATGACTTTCCTTTCTTTCATTTATTTGTTTTACAGTCACTCACATTACATAAAAATAAAATGTTACAAGAGGCATTAATTAAAAATTAAGTTGTTGTGAAAAGAAAACCTAAAGAAGCTGCAGGGAGCTTATATTAATAGGCTTCCTTAAGCTATATTACAAAGGCTTACTTGATTGTAGAGTCTGCAGAAAACATACACCTTAAGTGACAGAACGACTTGACAATATCAATTTTTTTATTTTACATGTATAATGCTATTTTGCCTACCTTCGGGGAAGTGAGTTTGATCTCATAGCAGGCTTTGTCTTCTTAATATTTCCATTGTCATCTAGGTTTGTTTCACCATTCTGTATGGTGTTATTGTGATACGTGGTTGGTGTTGATTTACCAGCACGACGTAAACGCCTTCGTGTAAACCCCAGAGAAACTGACCTATGACGAAAGCTTTTGTTGTCACATGAAGACTCAGGTTCACTGTCGGAGCTTACACTGACTGTCCTCAGGTTTGGTTTAACTTGGAGTCCACTGGTATTTCTTTCTATTGTGATTTGTGTAATCTCTTCTGGTCGAGATGTCAAAATAGCAGCAACCTTAGATGAATAAAATAATGCATTACAATGAACACATAGCTTGTTATGAGCAATATTTTTAGACTCTACCACACAGAGTTGATCCTTGAGTCATTAATTCTAGCCTTTTTAGTTTAGAGCCTAAACTAGGTTTTAAAAAACTATTATTTTGGATTGCACCTTAGCACAGGAGAACTTTCACAATACAATAATATTTTTCATCCCTTTGTACCTTCTGCTCTGAACACTGTACTTCTCAACACCTGCTTTCAAATTCACAGCATGCAGAGAAAGTTGTGTCCAGTTAACTGAAGCTATGGTTGTATTGTGACATCGATAGACCGATCCTTCTACTTCTAGCACTAGTGGATGTTATGAATTCGATAGATTTCAGTTTAGGGAGGGTGTACATGTGTAATATTATATTTGGATATCAAAAATTACTTTCCAGTGGAAAACAAACCTGGTAATTCCCAGATACTTATCCATTGAATAGTGATTTATCCAGTGGACAGCGCTATCCACCCTTTGAACAACTGGAGCCTAGTTTGGGAAGTGTTTTTTTTTAATGCAGAGGCTGAGCTTCATTCTTTAACTTACCTTATCGATGGTGTTGGGTGATACAACAACTCTGTTGACCTCCAATACTAGATCACCTGCCCTGATGATAGGCATGTCACCACTTTGATGTGTTGACGAGGAATGGTACCTTGTAATTGCAGGAGCAAAAATAAGAAAAAAAATGAAAACTTCATTGGGGATCAAAGCCTGAATGGAGATACTGTAAAATTCCGCAAATAAGCCCCTCCAAATATAAGCCCCCCAAACCAGTAACACAAAAAATCCTCCGTTAAATCGCCCCTTCAAATATAAGCCCCCCAGGGGCTTGTACTTGGAAAATTGCCCTCAAAAACAAAGTAAAACAAAGCAAAAACGGTAAACTTTCTTCCAACTACAAGGCTAGCCAAATCGATTTTGAAACGCAAGTTTCCCTCCGTAGATAAGCCCCTCTGAATATAAGCCCCTCAAAAGAGGCCTTTAAAAAAATATAAGCCCCGGGGCTTATTTTCGGAATTTTATGGTAACATAGTAAAAGAGTGCTCATTTAGTGTGATTCTCATTTGAGCTTAAAATGGTTAGGCTTGAGCACAACTAAAACAACAAACAAACAAGAGTATAACAAGAATTAAATTGATTATTTTAGCAAACAGACTAAAATGTCTGCAGCTTATGGTTGGTTTAGCGAACACCTAGCGCATTCTCAGCTGAAAAAGAGATTGCTGACAAAATAATGATTTCCCATAACTCAGGGCAATAGAAACTGGGCTGCCGAATGAATTGGAACTGACAATGCTTTTTTCCATCTTAATAGGTTTTTCTTTGATTGCAAAATGACAATGCCTTGCTTTAATAATTTTATCTATTAGCTAATAAAACAAATAATGGACATTTCTAGAAATTATCATTTTCAGGGACCCCAGAGCATATTTTGGATCGGTGGGGCATCATTTTGACTGACAAATTCGTTAGGCACTTCGGCAAGTCACACAGAGTCAGTTCTTGTCTTTACTCGTATTTAAGGTTGCAACATACTGCTGGGTCATCTTTGCTTTGCTACTTTGTTTGTCTCATAAAGACTTGAACTCAAAAGATGTACCAAGTAACAATAAACTTGCAGATCCTCCAATTTCATTGATCTTTTATAGCAACATGTCCTAGCTTCCAGAACTACAACACAAGCCGCTTGTAGTGCTGCCAAGCCAGTTCCTTTTTTCATTAGGCAAGGAAAACTTTTCAAACATCTTAAATATATGTATTCTCTCTGCCCCATAAGTCCCAACAATCTTATCATCAAGTTTAGATCAACTAACCTTGGTTTTGATTATGTGCTCTTGATTTTCAACTTGCAAATAAAATGCAAGTTTTTTTTGTAAACATGGGTACAATACCAGCAGTGATAAATGAACTGGCTTCAGTAAGAACAAACTACAACTTCCATCTTTGCTGAAGACATTTTTAGTTCGTAAACTGAAATCAATCTATTAACCAAAAGCACGCATCCGGCAAAGAAACTCATGTTTCATGCATTATGTGTATCACCAAACAATAAACAGTACCATATCAAAATATCGCCACTGGTGACCTTTCATTTTAAGTCAACACGTACAGTGGGTGGAGGATCTGTGTCCTAATTTAAGCACGTAATGCTATTGTTGTACTCAAAAACCATTACTGTCCCTTTGAAATTTGTGAGGTTTCACTGGAGAGGGTTAATTGACACATAGTCACGTACTAATACCTCCATTTTCAGCGACGGTCATTTAACCTCAATAACAATGCCGCAAATTGAGGCTTACCCTTTGACAATAATGGATAAATGTGAATCTTTCTCTGGCAGTGATGGTCTCCTCCTTTCGCTTTTGACAATTTCTATTTCAAATGTCTGTTTCAGAGCTTCCGATTCCGTTAGATGTAGGTGATGAAAAGCTTGCAAAGATGAACTCCAGGAAGGTTGTCCCACTTCCTTTTCATAACACATGAAACTATATTTGAGAATCAAAAAATAGATTGTTATTAAACATTCACTTTCAGAAACTCAATATAAGTATTAATAATATTATATATTAGTAAGATTGGACCTCTGAGATTGGTTCTACAGCTACTTATGGAGAGAATATTTTTATAACAGTAGTAGTGTTGACAACGACTATTCTTACAGATAATATCATTATTACAGTTCTGTTACTATCAGCAGCGATAGTTAGTAGCTGTAAATCCCTGTGTTTATGTTCACATGTGGATGTTTGTAGCCCAAGCACTGAGTGTGGTTAACTTGAGACCCAATCAAAGAACAAAATACAACACTATTGTGCCCCGTTCAGCTATTGCAAATTACGGTAATTAATACTAAATTGTTCAGAGAGGTCATTACGTGGAGAGGAGAGCATGAAAAAAAAATTACTGCACTTATGCCCATCTACATTAAGTGTTCCCAGTGTGATCAGAAGTCACAAAGTCTCTGCGTGATTGTCTCAGCCTAGCTGTCTCACTGTTATTGAATGAAACCTAATATTCTGAAGTGAAGTGATGTTAGGCGATGTCAAATCAAAGACGGATTCACCATCAAGGACTACATGTACACGTACATGTATATCCCCAGTTCTTATAGAAAGGCTAAAAGGATCTCCTTTCAATGGATAATCGCAAGAAAAGAAGGAGACAAGGATAGTTCAAAGACGCAATCACTAATTGCGCAGGGAAAAGCTGGGCTTCAAAGCCAGCATGATAAAATTACAAGTTGTTTGAACATCCTCTGATAGTTTGTGTCATGTTGGGATTTGAATGTTGAAACCCTTAATATAGGCAATCTGATGCTCTTCATCCTGAGCTAGCTTGCCGCTATTTGCTAAATATAATAATATTATATAAAATTGAAATGGTCATTTATGATGTCTTGATGTTAGTTAAGAGTGAAGGATTCTATAATATTGTCATGATTACAGCTGTATTAGTCAAAAATGACTATTCAAAACACTGTGTACGTGCATAGCTATTTGGACATGTATTAACAGTAAAAATGGGGGAGGCTGCCATTTTGGGGGATTCACTTTCACTAGCATCAAGGCTGCGCTCCAAGAAAAATTGCAAGTAGCCTGATGCTCTGAATCAGTGAAGTCCAGGTCACCCAGCAGATGAAACTAAGACTTTTTCAAATTTAGGTACCAGGGGCCACTAGGAGCTACTGGAGCATGCACATTACTGGGACTACAAAATCATCAGGGAACTGAGTTTCATCTACAACTGTACATGCCTGTACAGCCTACCAAATCAAACAATTATAATATACGAGCAATTTTTACATACCAGACAAGTCTGTGTCTCTCCAGGAGAACATAGTTGTCTTCCTCGCCAAGAAACTGTTCACAGCTTCCACAGGAAAAACATTCAGTGTGAAATTTAAGATCAGCTACAACCTGGAAAAAAAATGTTCAATGAGTTACCAGCTTTAAAATTTTATATAAGGATTCAATCATTGTTTTAAAAGATGGTAAATTTTAGGTAAGGAAGAGAATGAGAGAGATGCAGTAACCCTTGATAAGGTGGACAATAAATAATTTAATGAATCATAATATTATTATTCAAGGCTGGGTGAGTTAAAGGGGTTGACATCGACTTGGACACAACTCTTGTTTCATTGCCTCTCAGCATTTTTGATTCAGTGTGGTTGACAAAAATAAAATGTTAATTGAGTATAACGTAACTGTTAATTGATATTAATGCAGTCAACAACATATATAGAGCATTGTCTCTTGATGTGTTCAGTAGTCAGATTGGTGGCTCAAGCACAGTCAGCCTTGCTTGCATCAGCCCCATGTGCTCTGTCATGTGTCAACATGCTCCATCATCCTCCTAGCGGCCACTTGTTTCATTTAGCCTTTGAACTGTGCATTTACCCCTAATCTTCCCCAATTTATTGTTCAACCAATAATCAGTATGACAGGTGCCTGATTCCATTGGCATGGGGGCTCATGAAAATCACTCAAGCTTTCCCAAACTGCACTTTTAAAAAACACTGCACAGGGGCAAGGGGACTGCTCTGTGCATGCCCAAAAGAACGTAATGTTCCAAGATTTTTGAATGGGGTTGTAGGTTAAAAAATTTAACCTAGGCTAAATCAAAATTAACCTGAAATCAAATTTGACCTGTAACATATACATGTAGTTATTTCATGAAATAATAATAATAATTATAATAATAATAATAACAATAAAATGTTTTTCGTCAACAAGTAAACAATATGTTCTTAAAGTAGCCGATCCTAACAGTATCAAGGACCTATGTCTTGAACAAGATACAATAATTTTATTTATGGTCTTGCTTTCTTGAGTCTCTCTGCAACTCGGGGAGTTAGAGCACCTCCCATGCACACTGACACCAGTCTTTTTTCTGTGACCTCAAGGCTGTGCTCTAGGGAAAATTGAAGGGAGCCCAATGCTCTGAACCTGCAAAATCTAGGGTGCCCAACATGTAATTTGTATGAAAAAACTAAGTTTTCTAGCCGTCTGAGAGCAAACGTTGGGTGTCAGGGGCAACCAAACTCTGCCAGAGCAGTCCTGGATCTAACCTATGTGGTAGGCATTAAAAGGGGAAGGGGGAATTTGGGTAGTCTCGCGCCCTAATTTCCTTCTCCTTCCCTTTCAAGTGCCTGCCACCCAGGCTATCCTGGATCCTGATTATTACGCCAATCTTACAAATGTACATGAACAGTCCCATCAAAATTTTTATATAGGAGGGTATCGCCAGGGACTTGTGAACTTTAGTGTGAAGTATGTGGTTAATTCACTGTAAAGCATATGTAGGTGAAAAAATCTTTAGCTGGCTGGACACCTCAAACCATGGCTGCATTAATTCAAGTAGTGTTCATTGGATTTATTAAATCATGGAATGAACCCTGGCCTACAGTCTGCGTTCCTATCGTGACGAAAGAATTACCTTACCTCATTAGCTGTCGTGAGAAAAGCATACAAGCTTACCATCTTGCATAAGAATGAAACTGTCAATATTCAAGCTCGCTAATCAAAATAATAAGGAGCTCAAATGATAATCAGTGCTAATGTGAAAGCAAATACACTTTTGATGTGAATAACCTTATTCAAATTTGAAGTAAACTTCTCTACAAAAACAATATCAACAATCAACATAAAAATAAATGTTACTCAAAAACCTATTTTAATAATGAATGTTAATGTTTGATTTACGTCAAACGGACTAGGTAATTGAATTTTGTCGGAAAAAACGAGGAACAAAAATAGGTCTCGCCTAAAACATTCCGACACATAAATTGGTTGCGCTGTGGCCCTGTATTGGCACATTATCAAACTATTACGACAGTGCCAAACTAGTATATTATATCACGATGTAGGCGTAATTTTCACAATACCCAAAAGGTAATACTTTATAAAAACCATTAACCTTACGTATAATCAGTTAACCATCCAAGCGCTAAATATGAAATTTCCATAGAATGGAGAATGAAAGCTCACATAATGGCAAGAAAAAGCACAATTAATGAGCGAAAAATTTTAATTCCTTTAAAATTAAATAGTTAAACTTGAATCCTAGAAAGTAACTAAACGTGCAAAGAATGTAACAGATTCATACCATAACAGGTCCAGTAATGTTTTGCCCGCAAACGTGACAGGCCGATAGAAATTTCGCTAAGTAGTCTTTCTTGCAAAACAGTGTTTTTCCGCGTGCATAATATGTGGATGACAAAGCTCTTTTACACTCCGTGCACCTAAGACAGAAAGATTTCGTTAGGGAAAGGGCAGACGACACCACAAAAACAGCAAAAAATCCAAGCTCAAAGAATGAATTTCCTGCGCGTAAGCAGGGTCTTAAAGCAAGAAGTTGCGTAGCTTACTGAAAACAGTCAGGATGCCATTTGCCGCACAACGCTTCCACTGCAGTCTGCTCTTCTGTCAGTGGGATTTCGCAAAAATGGCAGATCACGCGGCCTAAAAACAACAACTCGTTGATATTAGCTTTTATGGGTACACTGGGCATGGACGCTAAATTGGACTATAAATTATTACGTACCTGACATCTTTTCCTCCATGTACCTCCTACTGATTTTCTTGGTTTCGTCACTATTTGGCAATATTTGGGGTATTGGCCAAGTAACCCAGCCTTCAGTTGCGTTACACTGACAGAAAGCGTGTCACGCAATACTATCATCATCGTCGATCTGGGCGAAAAAAGAGATGAAATTTAGATCTTCATCCAACTTGAGAGGTTCAAAACGAGGAGTTTGCCTCACATTTCATGAATTTTAGATTTTAGTGGAAAAAATGGGCCCCTGACTATCACCAGCCAATAGAATTGTGGACAGCCAACCGCCCGAGGCTGAATGCTGAACCTTCCGACATCTCCGGTTTTCTCGGATGTCTAAAATAACCCCAGTCGCTCTAAAATGAAGTTCCACTAGAAACATTTTACATATACTCTTTCCACGATTCTTTACGTAATACTACAGAAATACTCCCCCTTCCCCATCCAAAGGAAGATTTTTTTTTATAAAATAAATCTCATATAGGTACTACAGTAGAACCTTGATAACTCGGATAACTCGAATTCCCCGCTAACTCGAACTAAATTTCCTTTCCCTTTCACTGAAATTTACCCCAATAATTCCTGCCAACTCGAACTGTGTTTCGTTTCCCTTCAGAGTTCGAGTTACCGGGGTTTTACTGTATCGAACTGTATATCAGTAGCTATCTCATACACCAGGGCGTACAGTTGGCGGCCATTCTATGACGGGAGGCGTTGGGGGGAGGGGGGGGGGGAGCTGTTTTGTTCTAAATCATGCGGCGAAGTCGCCAGTTTACGTCTCGAGTGAGGGCTTTTTCAAACCGTGGAGTTTATTTCATCCAAAATATTTTGAGCAAGAACGCCGGGTCTTTTTTTTTTAAATAACTTAACTATTGCATCACAGACAGTTTCTATTTACGTAGTTCCGGCCCATCCTCGCCTCTATATTGCTTCACTCTCTAATTTTATAATTTCAAAATCATACCATATATTTAGCAACAAAAATCATCTGAAGAAGACTGCTAGCCAAAATATTAGAAGTTTTCTATTATATTTCCTTTTTACGTGTAGTGACAAACTGCTAGAAAAGTGATATGGGTTCCTCTGGTTCCTGGTGCTTAGGAGAATTTCCGTTTGCGAGATTTCACGGCCACATGCAAATAAATAATCACCAGGTGAAATCCTCTACAAGATCTTTTTTCAAAATACAGTCATCATTTCCTAGATTTCTTCACACAATGTTAAAGATCACAGATTAAGTTTCAAGGCAAATAATAGAGCCGTTTTCATATGCAAAGAATTAAATATGAGTTTGGACGATAAGACTGACACTACAAACACTTTTTTCTTTTTATGAGACTGTTGTTTTAAGGCCTGGGTAGAATATAGTTCGTATTTTTTTGCCGATTTTAGGCTGAAAATATTCTTGTATTTATTCTTAAAAAAGAAAGAATTTATCATGATACTTTTTTGAGGTTTAGTTCATTTTTTTGAACTTTATACTGTACATATGTATTAAATGGACCTTTCACTGAGCTGTCATTAGCTATAGCTAGTGTGGGGTTTTTCGTTTTGTCAGGGGGCTAGTTTTCGGTTTAGAGAACGGAATGATTTTGTACGGTTAAGTTAAAAACATATAATCGCACACATTTGTATTTACATATTTTCAACGGGCAAAATGTCAGCCTTGGCGGAGTTATTCTTAAAATGTCATTAAAATTTCTCAAATTTCAGCCACGGTATTTCTTATTCAAAAAGAACGGTAGGCAGTGGCAAGACACCCTGTCAGTTATGGTTTCGAAAGTTCTAGATGGATACCTCCCTGGAAGCTAAAAAATTGAAATCTAGGTCATCGGAAATGCACTGAATTCTTTAACACTGAGTGGCTGAAGAACTATTCAGACAGTGTGGACTACTGAGGTCAAGAAAACACTCGTAAACAATAAAACAAACGAACGACAACGATAAACCACAAGAAGTCCGAACAATTTCCTTTGAACCTTTTTTATACAGAAGCTTAGGCTGAGAACAGTTCTTTTCTTTATAGAAACTTTTTAAGCTTTAAATGTTCTAAAAGAGAATCAGTACATGTTGTAAACTACACTGTAAATCAAAAAGATCATTTTTAGTCCTAAATATGAACCAGTTTCAGCGAGTTCAGTAACACCCAATACAGTAATATTTTTTGGTCTAATTTGGCTCCCTAATCAAGGCCAATGCCAGACTTTGTCCTGCAGGGCTAAATTGGGACTTTATGCTGAAACAATCTTTTGAATTTACAGTATAGGGTTTCAGGCCTTGCAAAACTTTTACTTCATCTTTTGAGGAGGTCAAGAATGGGCTGGAGGGTCAACAGCGGATACAAACAAGTAAAACTTCACTGCATCTCTTATGGTATAATTTCTTTAGATTCCTTATGCTGAAACGGATAGGATACAATGCTCTTGACAGAAACGTAACATGAGCTATGTTCCCCGTATTTTCTTTCTTTCTTTCTTTTTTTTTTTTTCTACTCTCAGAGTCAAAGAACGTACTTATATAAAATATCGCCCGTGTAAGGTTTACGTTTGTGGGAAACTGCCCACCTACTCCTCCCGTAAGCCAACATTTTGCCCTAAGTGAGAAATAATTGATAATGTTGGCTTAGGGGCGGGGTAGGTGGGCAAGTTCCAAGAAACCTTAATTGATCAGGTAATCTGAGACAGTCTTGGATTCCACGTTGTGGACATTCCTTATCAGTGGAACTTGGATTCCAGATTTTTTGTACTGAATTTTGGACCCCAACACCCAGGATTGACTTTACCTGTTAGTAGGACTTACCTTTCTGTCTTGAAGAACTAATTGAATCTCTACCTGATGATAGCCCTTCTAATTTCAAGCTCCGAGAAGTGTCCCACGGTGAGGTCCTGCGCGTACTGAAATTGTTAAGATCTGATACGTCTACTGGCCCCGACGGTATCCCTGTCAAATTCGTTAAAATGGTAGCTGATTCCATTGCTGGCCCCCTCACAGCTATTATCAACAACTGTATGAGGAAATACTATTTTCCCAAGGCGTGGAAAAATGCGAGGATCAGTCCAATTCCTAAAGTAGATCAACCGAAGTCTGAGCCACTTTCGTCTCATTTCAATTCAGGGTCGGCCTGGGGGGTAGTGGTATACCAGTATACCGGAAAAAAATTAGCCAAAATACCCCAAAATACCCAAAATTCATCCAAATATACCCAAAATTATACCCAGGTATACTTTATACCTGAAATTCAAAGAAAGTGATATACCGAATACCCGTATTTAAGCTGCAATATACTGTATACCCGATTTAAAAAGCCCCTGTATACCGTATACCCCAAAACCCTGGCCGACCCTGTCAATTCTCCCCACACTATCAAAAGTCTTTGAGGAACTTGTCGCGCTGCAGATGACCACCTTTGTGAATCTGAATCAGTGCTCCGCGATACAATTTCTACCTTTCGTAAGAGACACTCGACCAATACAGTTCTAATAGGTATGCGCGACGATTTGCGAAGAGCGATGAAAAAAGGTGATGTTACTCTCATGGTGCTGGCCGATTTCTCTAAAGCGTTCGACACGGTCAACTACAAGGTTCTTATAACAAAGTTATCAACGCCTGGTTTCTCGAAGCCGTTTCTGCGCTGGCTGAATAGCTACTTGAGTGACCGGTCACACTCGTACAGATCGATGATCGTACATCTCAATCGGTCAACGTACGTTTCTGTGTGCCACAAGGGTCGATCCTCGGCCCAATTTTATTTAATCTCTGCGTTTCCGATCTGCAAGATCATCTCCCTTCCTCGATTGGTTCTGCTGACGATACCACAATATACTTCAGTTGTCCAGCTCCTGAGCTACAAAGATGTGCGCAAGATCTAAACTCCACACCAAATACTGTGAGCTCCTGGTCTAACAACTCCCATCTAGCACTTAACTCGAAGAAGACAAAGACGATGTTGCTATCCACAAGCCCTAGATGTGACATGTACATAGTTTAGATAAGAACCGACCAGCTATTACAATCTCAGATAGTACATTAGAATATGTAAATGTAAGTAAGCTTCTTGGTGTCCATTTCCACCAGCATCTTAATTGGGATGAGCACGTGCAAGCAACGTGCAAGAGCTGTTACGGAACAATACAAATAATAAGAAAACTTAATAACTTTGCTGGTTATAGACTCAGAAAGCACTTAGTGGAGTCACTGGTCCTGTCAAAACTTGACTATTGTGACACTGTCTATTACCCTTTGCCGGAATTTCAACTAAAACGTTTACGACGTGTCCAGATAGCAGCTGCTAGTTTTGTCTTGAATAGGTATGTAAATGACATTAACAATATTGTTAAGATAGGGTGGTTACCAGTAAGACAGCGAAGAGATTTCCACGTTCTCAAACTCGTTCACCAGGCTTTGCACTCCCCCAGCTAGCTGTCTTACGTACCAAACATAATAAGGGGAGCGTAAGAGAATAACTCAAAATCGCGTGGGATTTCAAAAAATAGTAGCCTTAGAAAATAGTCGAGATGTCGCTAAGCGCAGCTGGTTTCCGCGCGAAATGACGTCTGAGAAAAAAGCGCAGAAATTCAATACTGATGACCCGTCACTACCCAGATCTGGATAGTGCTTCCTATTGGTCGTGCCGCGTGGGAAACTTGCTTCAACCAATCAGAAGCGCTACCCAGATCTGGGTAGTGACGAGTCATCAGTATGAAATTTCTGCGCTCGTTTCGCAGACATCACTTAGCTTCATTTCGCAAAGAAACCAGCGGTGGCTTCGCTCTCGGGGTAAAAGGATGGTAAAACGAAACTCTTGCGGGATGTAGCTACTAGTTTCCCCCAGGCAGCTCTTCTGATGATCTGCTAAAATCAAGGATTCATTATATTTCACGGGTGCTCAACTTTATTTAATACAACTCACACATTGATACAGAATTCAGCCTAGTTCTACTTAGCCACAACACTGTCCTGCAGCATTCACGTAACATATTTTTCCCATTACAGCTTTGAATCGCTTCCAGCTACTGAGATGTCACAAAAGAAAGCCAAAAAGTCATAAGAAAAAATGCTTTTCATATACATTGACAAAGTTAATAAGTAGCTGCTGTTGAAATAAAATTTCAAGCTCTAAGCCGGAGGGTGGAACAAGTCTTTATATCAACTTCGAAATTAAAATATTTTCGATTACTCGATGCTACAGAAGTTCTCACGTCTTTATCGTTAGTTACCGTGCAACTCCTGTCGCTTTTAATAGTGTGGGCTCAGTTAGCCTGCGTCACAGACCGTCTAAATCCTGGTATAGACAGTCGAAGTCTCATCAGCTGCAACGCAGGTTAGGGCTCAGTAAGTTAGTAGGTAAACAATTCTTACTCACTTCACCCACAGTTCTATAGGACTTTTTACAACAAGGTGATTTTGTGCAGGATTATGTGCCACTCGATTAAAAGAACGGTCACAATTCAGCTTTTCATGCATTGATTGGCCACGAAATGTGCAACCTAACCCAGCCCCTCGGTTCTCATGAAATCGTCTATTGGCCCAAAACGTCTGTTGGAAACCCAAAGTCAAATATCGAAGAAGTCACTTTGCATATCGAACCGTGGGCCTTACAGGTTGAATGCAGCCTAGTACTTTGGAGGAGGCTCGGACACTTGCTGTGTCATTACCATCCCTGGCTGCTGCACGACGACAACGTTAGTCTAAGTAGAAAGAAGATGAAGAAAACAATCAAATTAATGAAAAAAGGGATCGAGCTACCGCTTCTTGTGCTTTTGTAGAGATTCATAGGAGGATTATGTGCTTTTATAACGCTATGTGCTTTTATAACGCGACTGAAGGTCGGTCGGATCAATAACACTCAAGTCGCAGTGGCCGATGTTTTACGCACACTCTGGCCCACTTGCTACTTAATCAAATTCAAGTTAACATATGACTATAGTCTGCACAGGAGCCGGGAGTAATTTTTGTCTAAGGAAAGTGGGAAAGAGGAGGTTACTCCACCCTACCATGCCGTGACAAGGGCTTGCTCGTAGGTTATTGTGAATACTGAGAGTTTTCGAGGTTGCTAACATTTGTGTGGGCAAAATGAAACGTTAAGTGACATGCATTTATCCTAAGGGTTTGAATTGCTGAGAAATCGCTGAAAATATATGTAACTGATAACTGAGAAGCAGACTCTCTCCTAAGAGGAAGAATCAATGTAAATAGAACTCAGTTGACTTCAATAGACAGAGAGCCAAGCAGCTTAACTGAGTCACCCTAGCCTGCGTTCATAACGTCGGCAATATCTTTATAAATCTTTCGTGGGAAGGAGGAGTTCCTGCCCTTTACTTTCCGGTCCGCCGACTTTTGCACTCCCCCATAAAAAAAGAACGCCTGATCGTAGGTTATGGTAACCGTTACAAGAAATTTTAAGGGAAAAAAATATATGCCAAACTGGCCAAAGCTTTAACCCAACCATAGGCACTTTCTTTGCAAACGTTAGAGTTTGAAAACAGCGTTACACAAACAGAATCCCATTACAATATTTGGTTTCAATAATCTTCTATTAAAGTGAGATTATCAATCTGGAGTTGATTGGTTTCCTTAAGTAAAAAGGGCGGCTATCGATATGATAAAGTGTTCCAATCTTTACAAATGACTTACCTCGGATTTAGTGCAGCAGACTCCCATGCAACCAATAATAGAAGCAGCGAAAATCAGAATGACGGAGAGAGCAGTGGTGATCACAATTGCAATGATGCAGCTTTCGATGACCTTGATGTTGCTGCACTTTGACACTATGGAGAAAAATAAATAGAGACTTAACAACTACATAGTGATAGTCGTTAAGGGACGGACCATTAGAAAAGTTATGGAGGGGGTCGGGGAGTGGGGAATTTGCGAGCCGCAGGAATTTTTTTTCGTTATAAATAGAGACTTAACAACTACATAGTGATAGGCATTAAGGGACGGACCATTAGAAAAGTTATGGAGGGGGTCGGGGAGTGGGGAATTTGCGAGCCGCAGGAATTTTTTTTCGTTATAAATAGAGACTTAACAACTACATAGTGATAGGCATTAAGGGACGGACCATTAGAAAAGTTATGGAGGGGGGAGGGGAGGTGGGGAATTTCTTTTCGTTACCAACCGTCCTTGTATGAATTTTTTTTAGGCCGTAGCATGAATATTTTTTAGGGTTAATTGGGGTGCATGAATTTTTTTTCATTTAATTTCCCCTAGCGCGAATATTTTTTTGTACTTCGTCCGCCCCCCCTCGCCCATAAGTTTTCTAATGGTTCGTCCCTTAATGGACTCGAAGAGACTCAGATATCTATATGGGGTGGCAGGGTCGGGGGCATTTAAAGAAAGTTTCAGTTGTGGTCTGCCACCAAGGCCTTCAAACTCTGACCCAGCTTAAGACAAAGTTTCTTTATTCCAGGCCACTTCATTTCGTATCACAGAGTTAAGTGTTTTTATATATGGCTGATAACATAGATTTATTTTTAAAAAGTCGCGCACCACCAAGGTTCACACCATGTTCAAGGCTTCCGGTTTAGAGCAAACACCCCTGTTCAGAACCCTAAATAATGAAAATGTATTGCCGCTGTTTGACTTAAAACCATAATCCTCCAAAACCATATCCTGTTGGGAATTAGGCTTAATAAGGGAGTTACTCTCCTGGATGTCTACCTACAGTAGACGCATTTCGCAGTTTGGACAGTAATATTATAATTCGATTTTTTTCAATTCTCTCCTAGACAAAGTCTATGGGCGAGTCCTATGCTACGTAAATGAAACTGTCCTATTTTGTAGAGCTTAAGGACTCTACAAAAAGGAATTTTTGTGCATTGTTGCTTTAACCTCTATAGGAATAAAAAGGAATAATGATTTACCTGGGATGGGAACACTCTTGTCAAGTCCAGAGCAAAGACAACTGTCTGTACCCTGATAGCAGTGTTGTTCTACGCCCTTTCTGATTATGTACCAGATCAACCAAGCTATAAGGGCAACGACCACTTGAACAATACATATGATCAACCACAAAATGGACATGACCAAGAAAAAGACAAACTAAAGGGAAAAAAAAATAGACATACACTACAGGGTCAACATAAGCGAAACAAGAACTATAAATTATATGGTATGGATTGGTTTCAATTCGTTTTGTTTCAGATCATGTTCACTTAAACGAAACATGTGATTGTAGTAAGGAGTATTCCTGAGTAAGTCATTCATGGTTGTAGTCTGGATCTCTATTAAAATCTACTGCGTCAAAGAAACCTAGCAAGTATTAACTCAAATTACAGCGGAATATAAAATTCTGTGTGAAAAAACGGCTTGACCAGAGCGCCCCGTACTGTTGAATCCAGATTTTCCTAGTCTTCTTTGGAAGATTTGGTTAGGTTCAAAAAATCGCGGGTAAAACGGTTTTGTTTGACTAGAGAAGAGAAAATTCCCGCCTTCCTTTACGCGTAAATTGACACCGAGAGAGAAAGACGTTTGCGTGCGAAGCAGTCCTATATATATGGTAATCGTCCGCCACTACTCTTCCCGCCATCTTGAAAATAAAATCTGCCAGATGTCTCCGCGATCTCCCGTTTTCTACTTCCCTCCTTTCTTTGTTTACTGGTAAATAAATAGAGGATACTACATGGCCGCACGGAGATATTTCGTATCTCCAAGCGGCCATATAATGTTCTATTTATTATATAAACACCAATGAAATTCCAAACCATTTCACTTAAAAATTTTTTTGCTGCGAAAGGCGCGATTTATTATGTAGCCATAGCAACGGTGATCTTTTCACATGTGAAAATAACGTTATTTTCACATGTGAAGATCTCATGTTTTCGCGCGAAAGCTCACCTGGTATTTCGTTGGTGTTTGTGTAATAGAATTCTGTATTTTGCCCTTACACTTGAAGAACTGACCGAGTACTCATAACTATTTTCCAGAGCTGTCAAATTTTGCTGCTTTCATTGAATGACTGTGACATCAGGGAATTAAAGTTATGTTCCTTTTTCAATGCTAAAATGATGAACTTACCGGCATTTTGGCTAATTTCACCCATGTCACAATTCCTAGGATGCCAATGACTAATTGCTGTAAAAGGAAACAAAAATAAAGTTAAAGTTAAAAATTCATGCATATCCAAATGCCTTACTTATTGATTTGCAAGTGCAGAACGAGGATACATTGTGTATCATTTCTCAGTCGAACTTAGACCTGTTCAAATGACTACTACACGCCGGCTGGCTGATGACCTGCGATCAGGCTTCTTTCTTTGGGGAAAGACCAAAGTCGGCGGTACCCTGGGTGCCAGAGACATTTCTCGCGCTGTTTCCGGTTTCTGTCAAGTCTTTATAGTGACCCGCGCGAAAAGCGCGTTTTTCTCGCGGCTTCGCCGCTCGTGGCTTGCGCGAGAAAAACCTCTGGTACCCAGGGTAAGTCGGCGGACGCCTCCCATGCAAACAGGAATGGACAAGGACCGCCTGATCGCAAGACCCAATACCATGAGCAACGCATAAGGATTCGTAACAGTCTTGTGCTTTCGACGGGATTCGATCAAACCTAGGTTTCAACCCTCATACCTCTTAATTTGTTTAACGTAATCTGCTTTTTAAGATCTGTATTAAATGAGATGACTTAATATAACGCGAAATTACGATCTTTACTTTCTTTAAATTTCGTTTAACCGATTTCTAAATAAATACAAACTGTTAGTGCGTAATAAACGAAAAAGTGTTTTCTTGCCATCATTTGTCGTTAAGCAATAGGTTTCTCCATTCACAGCTTTGACAAATTTGCCGGAGATGTTGCTTTGAGATCAAAAAGAGAAACTGTCTTTGCGTCAATGCAAAACCCTTCCAAAACAACCAAAGATAGACAAAGACGAGCTGGAAAATTGTTTCTTTTTTATTGAATTAGGATCCGTGACCTATAAAGCTTTAAAATAGCTATATAGCATTCGGACTCCCCGTGCTTACACTGGGGATTCAGCAAATAATTAGCAAAAAATTGAATAAGCGATTTCACCCTTAGTAACAGATTGTTGTGGATTAAGTTATCTTGGGCGGCTAGTTACTGAGGTCCCGTAGCAACTAGCTCTGAAGAAAACTTAACCAAGACCTTCTTTATCGCTAAGTTTTCGCTTTTTTTTGTTATTCGACAGTCGCAAAATTTAATCTTGTCCAATAAACCTCAGTCGCCGATAAAAGTTTCTGTACTCCCAGTCCGAGGATAATAGATGTACTTTGATACCACCCGTGGCTCCCGCACAGTTTGAACTTGATAATCAGACAAAAGTTTCTTCGATTATGTAACATCTTTTTGAAGAATCGGGTATTTTTGGATCTTGATAATATATAAACAAGCAAAAAAATGACCCTAACGAAAGACTATTTGCCCTTGAAGTCCTTAAATGACTATTTTTTCTGTTTGATGAATTATGAAAATGGAAAAAACGATTACAATAGTTTCCATAAGCGGGAAAACCACAATTATATTGTAGATTTTTGGAACATATTCAAATTTAAACAAACGTATTTTACTGGAAAAAATGATAACATGTCCTGATTGGAAGCTAGTTCATGAGACCTAAAAATAGTATGCACCAAACATTTTAAAAATTCGGGACGTTGTATTTACCAGGTACATAGCTTTCGACTTGCTTAATTACGAGCAAAAGGAGTCGATCAGAAAAATCAGTAAAATCGTTCATATATAGCCAATAGAGGAAAGTAATTTAGAAGCCCTTTAGCACACAAACAAATGCGTTAGAAGCGAACCGAAGCAAGCGAACTGGTCTTTGCGGGTGCTACGTATTCGGGTTTGAGTCCTCACTCCCTCGTGTGCCTCTACGCCGTCGAGCTCTGGTACTATAGTACGCTCGACAAAAACATAAAGTGCACTTACCCCAAAACCGGACCAAAGACCAGAACCATCTTTGGCACCCATACCAGCATATATGCAGCCACAGATAATATTGACAAGGGCTGTGATGAGGATTAGAATACCCACGATCCCTGCAGCCTTAGCTTTTCCTGGTTCGACGTTCGACATCTTTATGGCAGTAAAAGTAAGCACAAGTTCTTTCAGGAGCTATTGATGCAGAGTAAGGCGTTCACTTGCAATCGAACGGACAAGGACGTGCGCGAAGACTATTCTTTTACAAGAAGGGCTTGCCTCTTTTATCCCAAGAGAGTATATTATTTTCTTGTGGTCATAGCGACATAAGTAAACACTCTCTTTTATACAAAAGGGCGCGAACCAATGGCAAAACAGCTTTGATCCAAATGTTTTAAAATCCGCATTTGAATGCCCAATGCAATTTAGATAAAATAGCAAATCTATTGTTTGCCAACATCATTAGCACTTGCTGGACAAGTATTGTTTGGCGTTGCGAAGAAACCGGCTTGTGCAAAACACCAAAATCAACTGTTTTTAAAGTTCTCTCCACTTTATTCAATACTTGAATGAAATTCCTAGGTAAGATGCGTAATTTTTAAGCAAACGCAAACAATTAAATTATCTGGCCATTTTTTGAGATTTTGCCTTGTATATAGTTGTATTTAGTTATATATAGTTATAGTTGAATATGTATAGTTCAATTTAAAATTTATCTATTTATTTACTTATTACTACTATAATTTGATTATTGGTCAGGTCCACATCAGCTGTATGGCTGTATGTATGTATGTATACCTGGAAATGTTTAGCTAATGCTTTGACCATATTAAGCTCGGTGTCGATCCGGTCGGAATACAGGAATACAATTATCGATTAAGGTCGACGGGCAAAATTGGGATTAATTTAATTTAGTTCATACGAAGGGTGAGCTAAATTTTTGCACAAAAGCGGATGATAACTCTTAGTGTTTTTTAGTTCAATAATAAATGCGCTTAGTTCTTTAATGTATTTAGACGTCAGCAATATCAAAAAAAAAATTACTGTAAGCTTTCTGAACAATGACGTTGGTACAAGTGCATTTAATGCATTATATTACTAAAACGCCAATTATTCCAGAGATTTTTCTCTTCTGATTGATTAGAGTTTTCGTCAACACTTTTGATTCCCGCTTGGCTATACTTTGTTCCTCTTTTTAATCTGTGTCGATTCATCCCTTTTTCGCTCCAGAATGTGAATATCGATTAACACCAGGAACGTATCCGAAAGCGCTTTGTCAAGTTGAGTCTTTCGGGAGTAAACCAAATCAAAGTAATTGTTGATTAATAGGCTCAGTTTGAAAAGATTTGCATAACAAGTTTCCCACTCATGATTTTTTTTTTTCTTCCACGGTTAGATTTCAATTCCAGGACCTAGGGTGCAGTGTTTTTGTTTACCTTCCTCAATGATGGTATCTGTTTACTCAGTTAAAGCTCAGTCAAGAGGGAATAGCGAGGAAAAGTAAATGTTACTAGCCCCGCGGCTGAACAGAGCGCTGTTCTTTTTGCGTTTTTCAGCGGCAGGAGGTGAGCAAAGCCTAGCCTCCCACGCTGGCGTTTTTAGGGGAGCTCGTTTTTCTGTGCAGGGATGAAAAACAAGCTCCCCTAAAAACGCCTGCGTGGGAGGCTAAGCAAAGCCAAGCTTGAGGAGGGAGTGGAGCACGAGATACGCGCGACGGACGCGCTTGCTTTCTCTCTTTTGCAGTTTAAAAGGCGAAAAATATCGTCAGTTGTACAGGCTGCATTGCAGATAAATAAAGCGTTTTTGGAGACCGGGAAAACTGCTTCATACTTTCGGTTAGACTATCATTTGCTTTAGTCATTGCCAACTTGTGATCAGGCGGTCCTTCTTCCCTTTCCCCCTCCACCGACTTTCGCGCCTTCCCCGAAAAAAACCGCCTGATTGCTGATTATAGTCCTTATAAAACAATGATTCAGCCAATGAACTAGTCAGCAAAAATGTCGCGAACAATATCCAGCAGACAGTCACAGAGCCGCAAGCCGAGATCACTCACTGCGCGAATGAATTAAATAACGCAGAATGCATGAAAAACGAAACATAAAACTGGAAAACAGCTTGAAAAGACAAAAAAAAATTCTCATTTTCTCTGCCCACCTGCGACAACTCATAATCAATTTTACTGATTAAATACCTGTTTATTCAGTTTAATCTTAAAGTAAGAAGCAAAGCTATTTAAAGAAAATAAATAACAATTTGCAAGACATTGTGCAACATGCGTCACATTTGCGCTGTATCAGGCTATCACTTGCTTCAAGTTCGTACTCCAGGGAAAAGAAAAGAAAAGGAAATAAGAAAAAAACAGAACAAAACAAAAAACCAAAAAGAACAAGACAGGTTATGAACCTGGCGCATTCTTTAGTTTTTCGAAGATGATGCACGTTTTCCAGCGCGAGTGAACAAATACTTTCCAAGGGCCTTCTCATTAGGAGGAAGTGTACCCCACAAACAGCGAGTGTCACTGACTTCAAAATCTTGTAAAAGAATTTTGATTTGGTGCATTATATTTTTATAAATTTTTTCTAAATCTGCTTTGTTTTCGGCTTTTTAAAAAGACCATTGCGCCGCAAGAGGCCATTTAAGCCTCGCTGGAGGCGGCGGGAGGCGGCGAACCGGCTCGCCGCATGGTCATTAATCCGTTGGCCTTTATTTTGATAGCCTGTGCCAGGCTCTCAGATAGTATAGTGGGAACGTATTAAAACGTGCAAAGCGAAAATAAGACGGGCACGACGTCTCTCCCCAGCCCCCTCGCGTTTTTCGCATTTCTTATTACTGAACGACTTTCCACTTTCCACCACCATCTCAGAGCCTGGAACAGGCTATTATTTTGATGAAGCGAGCTTTTGCGGCGAATATTTATCATCTGCGAGTCGGATCTTTGCAAGAAACCGCGCCCTCAAAGGGTCGGTTCATGATGTCTTGGAGCTATAACTAACAGTGGGTCGGTGTTGTCTCGGGTACCCAAGAAAGAGTTAGCTAACCTGACGTTTTTTTTCTTTTTGCAACAGTTTATCCCTGAACAGCCACAGCCGGA